CTGACCCAGCAGGAGCCGGACCAGGCAACCCAAGTTCTCTGGAAAGGCAGCCACGCCGGGCCCTCACAGGATGCTGGTTCTTTGGAGGACACCCGTCTCGCTAACTTGAAATGGGCTTGTTGCCAAAGCAGGTAACTCGGTGACACCTTCTGGGATCTGAGTGAATGCTGCAGTGCGCAAAGGGGGGGCCAGCACAGGCCGCCCACGACGGGCCCCCGGGGGCTCACCGAGCACAGGGACGACATGGCGCTGTTCAGGAAGTCCTCGTCTTTCTTCGGAGGTGGCACTGTGTTCCCAAACCCCACGTAGCGGCTCTCCCGGGCCCTGGAGGGAACACAGCGGCCCCCACATGGGTCACGGAGGCCCCTGCGCTGCCCCAGCTAGGGGGCCCCACAGCCCGGCCACAGCGGGAACGTGTCTGAGGCGCAGGCTCCCTGCATCCCAGCCCCCGTTCACAGAGGCTGGCCCAGTGGTCCGCCCCGGGCCTCACCCCTGGTAGGAGCCGAGGTCCTCGTCCAGCCAGTCCTCAAAGGCTTTGTCCGAGGAGGCGGTGGAGCTCTGCGGCTGGCCAGAGGCCCTGAAACAGAGTCCTGCAATGGCCCAGCCACCAGGGGACAGCAGATGCCCGCCCCGGGGGAACTGCAGGACCACCAGGTCCCATGGGGCTGGGGGGCCCAAGCTGGACCCTGCTCCACATGAAGGGGTCCCAGGAGCACGAGCATCAGGGGGACTGTGTGGCCTGATGGCAGGGCCCCCTGGACCTAACTCAAGGGGCAGTAGGTGGGGAGACCTGGGCATCCCAGGGTTTTGGGGCACCTCCCGAACCGGCCACCCAAACTCCAGCCTCCACTGTGAGACGCAGCGACAGTTCGGGGTCAGCTTGCCCCCAGCGGCCTGTGCTCCCGCGCGGCAGGATGCGCACGTCCCGAGCCCACGCCGACAGGGTCTGCCCTGAGCTGGCGCCCGAGGGGTGGGCAGATGCAGGTTTTCTTCCAGGCCTACCCACGCTGGCTGGCAGTTAAAGCCCATGGCGCCTTGGTGACCCTGAGAGCTGCTTTTCCCACTGCCTTTGGGACCCACCGAGCCACGGCTTGGGTCAGGGCTGGCCAGGAATGGTGGCCAGAGGGGTGCTACCGGTGGGCGGCGGATGGCAGCGTCCGGGACTGCGGCGGAGTCCAGTCCTGCGCAGGTGATGCCTCCAAGGACCACTCTCTCCCTTCGGCCAGCGTGGCCACCTGGTAAGGGGACACAGACCTGTCAGAGTGGCTGTGGTTGGCGTTGGCTCCAGGGAATTCACGGGCCGTGGCAGGGTCTCTGCCGTGGGGGGCACCGAGCCCAGGCCTCCCTGCAGCGCTGCAGGCGGGTTCTCAGTCAGGGCTGCAACCCCAAGTGTGGGTGCACCACCTCGGTGCCCGGGTGGGCACCGCCGTCCTCAGGAGCATTTTAGCCAAGATGGCCGGAGGTGGGAAGGCCCAGCCTCCACCCCTGCTGACTACAAGCCTCCTGCTTCTGGTGGGGACGGGGACCGGACGGGGCCTCACCTTGTCCCGGAAGAGGGCGGCTGCTTTGCTGCTGTACTTGTCCTGCAGGGACCAGCAGGGGTCGTAGTCCTCTTGCGACTCCAGGAACTGCCGGAACTTGGCGTTGCCACCAGCGCGCATCTTCTCCAGCTCCGCGTCCTTCCACTTGTCCATGGTGACCGAGCGCACGAAGCTGGGGGCAGAGGAGCGACCACGTCCTCCAGTGCGGGGACCCCAACCAAGCGCCCCCTGGGCTGGAGAGCAGACACGTGCTCTTTCAGGGACAGAGGTGCTGAGGCCCTGGGGGCACATGGGCCCTGGTCCCTGGACCAGGGCCGGGACTCGGGGACGCAGGCGCTGACCTGAGGTGCACGCCGAGCCCACGGTGCTTGCCCGAGCACTCCAGGCAGATCCAGATGCCGTAGGTCACACTCGCCCACTGGGGGTTGAACGCACCGCACTCAAAGCACACCTGCGGAGACGGCCTCGTGCAACTAACCCAGGCGGCTTCAGGCAGGGCCCAGGGCCCCCAGACCCCCAGCTGGTGGCCCAGGATGAGCAGAAGGGAGGTGGGGTGGGAGAGCAACAGGGGCTGGGAGGGGGGCTCAGGGCTGTCACACGCTCCCCAGAGGGGCAGGAGCTCTGGCCCGGGCGTCAGAGCAAGGCAAGCACTCACGTTGTTCTCATCCTGCACCCTGACTTCCTTGAGAACTTTCCGGGTCCTTGGGCTTGCCATGACGCTGCAAAGGAGAGAAACAAACCTTTAAAACTCACAAATAGGTCACCTGATGCCACAGACCACAGCTTCGGAGCAGCTCCGCTCGGATGCTCAGCAGCAACAGGGCTCGGAGCGCCTCTTCCCGCAGAAATCCGCTGCCCCTCACGAGCACCAGGAGCAGCCTGGGTGCCTGGCCAAGGCGATGCAGCCCACGGTGGCCTTTCCTGCGAGGAGCCCGCTAAAGGGCGACACTCGGAGACAGGAACTCTGCACCCTCTCCCTACCTGCCCCGTGTGGTGCTGAGAGGCTCCTGGCCTGGGAGTGGGGGCACAGTGGTGGCCCTAACTGACGTGTGAGGGGCTGGCTCACAGGAGGGCCCATCAGAAGGTCCTCCATGGGGCCATCAGGAGGAACACTGGTGACACGGCACAGCCACAGTGGGGCCTGTCACAGTGCAGACTGGCCCCCGTGCCGCACAAGGACACCGCTGGGGGCCAGCGGGCATGCAGCCCGGCCCAAACGCCCTTCATTTCTTTGCAGGTCTCCTGGCTTCGGCCCACCGACTCTGTGACCAGAGAGTCAGAATGACGAGACCCAGGCTGGACTCAGGAGTGGGCACCAAGCACAGTGTTGGCCGTAAACACCCCCCAGGGCTCCTGGGCCCACACCCAGGAGTCAGACCCAGTTGCCCGCCCACCTCTGCTGCCGCCAGACCCCACCTAGCATGTGGCCTCTGCAGACCCTTCTCGGCTGTGAGCAGAATCTGGGAGGTGCCCCTCTGACTCACATGGCCACACAAGCCCTGTGCACAGGACACAAGAACCGTCAGTGTGATGCCACAGGCCCCACGGGCTAGAGGGGCCCCCAGGCCTCCACCAAGTGGCTGCTCAGACTAGCGCTCCTGCCAACCGTGGCGCTGCAGCTTCACGCTGAGACGCAGGTGAGAATGAGACCAGAAAACTCTCTGCCTGATTCTGACTTTAACCTTAAGTCCCTCCCCAGGCGGAGCCCTGACCCTCACACACCAGCCCTCCTAGGCCTGGGAGGCCCTGACGCTAATGGTCCCTGGTGCCCACTTCCGAGCCAGGTGAAGCAGGACACAGGCTGTTTCCTGCAACTGAGAGAAACACACCAGAGTTCACCTGCTGCCCCCCCCCTGCCCTGGACTTCTCTGCGCTGCGCAGGGCGGTCCCTGGAGACTGCCCGGTCTCCAGGGTGGACACGCGGATGCGCGGTCCTGCCTGGGACCAGCCCCTGGCCCAGCCCTTTTAGGTGGCTGCCTCACGACAGCGTAGAGGACAGATGCTGGCAAACACACAGGTGGAGAGATACTCTGGTGGGTTTGGACTGACAAAGCACTTTGCAGACCCTGGTCTCACTGAGGCCACAGGAGAACCCACGTGGGCTGGTGAGCGGGGCTGACACATACACCTAGCACGCAGATCCCCACAGAGCTTTGCCCCCCCCACCTCGTTCTGGCTGATAGGACGGTGGGCAACAGGAGCCAGTGCTGCGGGGAGGTGGCTCTGCGTTCTCACTGCGTCAGATGGCGTGGAGGGAGTGTCTGCATGGCCACAGAGTGGAAAAACACGGAGGGTGAACGGCTTGGCGGTGTAAGAGGAACCCCCTCCGCGACCAGCTCTGGCTGTGGGTTCCCTGCGTTCCCTGAGATGCTGTTTTACACAGATGCCTCCACCATTCACACCTTAACTACAAATTATCCTGAAAGACGATCCCAGAACTCCTGTTCTAACGCTGGGACCCAAGACGGTCCGCCGGAGGAGCTCTGGCTGCAACTGGGCGTCCCCTGTGGGCCCAGGGAGGACGCGGCCTTCATGCAGCCACCTGCCAGACTGCAGCACGTGTAGCACCACCTGGTGCTCGAGGTTGTGACACGGAGGGCAGGCAGAAGGCACTGGCCACAGCTCCGTCCAAGAACAGTGCTCAGCGTCCTCACAGGTTACTTCTGAATGGGGGAGGGTCCGTCAGGACGCCAACACCAGCCAGTGGCACCACCGTAAACAAACAGCGCACAGGACCATAGGGCCTGCGTGAACGGGCACAAATGCTTCTTCCAGTCGGAGGTCTGCAAGAAGGTTGTCTAACGAGCCAAGCTAGGAGCACCGTTTTTCCACGTCAATCCATGTAAACGGGAAAGAAAATGGAAGGCCCTCTCCCTGTTCCCCCTCCCCGCCCCCGGACGATCATCCACCGCTCAGGCAAGGAGAAGGGCAGGAAATGGGCCGAAGCTGCCCTTTCAAACCAGCCTGCCCCCGCCCCCGACACCTGCGGGGCGGCTGAAGACCCTTCAGGCTCTGCCGACCCGGACCTTGTGTGCAGGTCAGACCCTGGGTCCGAAGGGGGCAGGGTCCTGGCCGACTGGGCGCAGAGCGGCGACAACCACAGCGGCGGTGACCGCGGAGGCGCGGGCGTAGGGGCAGCTTCAGAGACAAGGGTAGGGGTCTGGGGTCCGGGAGAGGGTGTCCGCGGACCGGGCCCCGTGGGCGGGCGCTTGGGCTCCGGCCGTGCGCTTACCGGGCAGGCTCGATCCTTGGCACCGGGATCGGGCGGTGTCTGCAGGGTCCCGGCCCGGGTCCGGCAGCCTAGCAAGCAGCACGGAGGACTCTCGCCGGCCGCCTACCCCGCCGCCACCAGCTTCCGGCAACGTTGCGTCTCGCAAGGCATCACGGGAAGCTGGGAGCTGCTGGCAGGGGCGGGACTTCTGCCTCGGCCCTTTGGACCGGAAGCGCCACTCAGCCACAGTCGCCTTGGGGACGCGTCCCGGCGCGGTGCGGGTGCCCCGGCCCGGGGAGAAGCGCTCGGGAGCGGGAGGCCCGCGCTGACGGCCCAGGGGCCGTACTCACAGTCCTCTTTGCACCGCTCCGCCACGTCCCCGTTGGCCCTGCGGACCCCAGCGGGCCCGCGCGGCTCGCGGACCGCCCGCCGTCCCTAAGGCGGACAGGGAAGGGCGTCCGCGTTCACCGCCAGGATCTGAACGAGAAACTGATGGCCTGCTCGAACGAGGGTGATTCGAGGGCCGTCTATGTACAGGGGGGCTAAGTAGGAAGGTGTGGTGGGTTTGGGGAAACCACTGTCATACTGAGGTTCCAAGGAAAGGGGCGGCGGAGAGGTTCCCCCGCCCTAGAAGGGGAGTCTTTAGGGCCGCTGTCACTGTGGTTGAGGGCATCGCCAGTCCGAGGTGAGGAGCAGAGAAGCTCGCGATATAAATACCTGGCCTGTCTGGACTCTCGCCCTGTGGTCTGATTTTGCTTCCCGTTGGCTGAGCCCATTGCTGCAGCTGGAGACAGACAGACAAACAGACTCGGACGGTTGGAGATGGCTGCCAGGCGGTGTGAATTGTAGAAGCCCAAACGTGACCATGTGACTGTGAAAAGGTAACTGTTCACAGTAACGACCTCTGGGGGGCGTAGCTGCAAGTGATACTTGGTATCGTTTTTTGTTGTGCTTTTCTGTGTGTTCCACGTGCTTTCGTTGTATCTTTTGGAATGATCAAGCGTGGACATTCCCTGAGATCTTACTTACACTGAATAAGGTGTGCAGTTCAGCGCGTTTCGACAAAGGCACGCCCCACAGCAGCCTCCACCAGGGGCAGCACTGTTCTCACTTATGTCCTCAGGCCTTAGTTTTGTCTGGTCCCGAACGTCACATAAATAGAATCATGCAGCCCTGGCTGGTGTAGCACAGTGGATTGAGCGCGGGCCTGTGAACCACAGGACCGCCATTCGATTCCCAGTCAGGGCACATGCCTGGGTTGCAGACCGGTTCCCTGCAGGCCAGTTCCCAGCAGGAGACCCACAAAGGGCAACCATACATTGATGTTTCTGTCCCTCTCTCCTTCCCCCATTCTCCTCTAAAGATAAATAAATAAAATCTTAAAAAAAAAAAAGAATCATGCAGCACTTTTTTTTAATTCTTAAAAAAGATTTTATTTATTTATTTTTTGGGGGGGTGCCAGGGTCCAGCCTCGGCAGGGTTCAGGGTCCCTGAAGGATGGATGGCATGGGTGAATGAAGAGTCAGACACCCGACTGGATGCCAGAGAACAGCCAGCCTCTGTGGGACTGACTGAACTCGTAGAGTTTGATTTAGGCTTTATTTTTCTAGATTGTTTTTTTAATTAATTTATTTTTTATTGATTATGCCATTACAGTTGTTCTATTCCCCCCCTTCATTCCCCTCTACCCTACCTCCCCATCCCCATTAACCCCCCTTTAGTTTATGACCACGTGTCTCAAGTTCTTTAGATTCTATATTTCCCATACTATTCTTGCCCTCCCCCTATCTATTTTCTATCTACTGTCTATGCTACTTATTTTCTGTACCTTCTCCCCCCTTCTCTTCCTCCCACTCCCCTGTTGCTAACCCTCCTTGAGATCTTCATTTCTATGTTTCTACTCCTGATCTAGCTGTCCTTTTAGTTTGCTTTTGTTTTAGGTGTGGTTCTTAATATCTGTGAGTTTGCTGTCCTTTTACTGTTCATGTTTTTTTATCTTCTTTTTCTTAGATAAGTCCCTTTAACGTTTCATATAATAAGGACTTGGTGATGATGAACTCCTTGAATTTGATCTTATCTGAGAAGCACTTTATTTGTCCTTCCATTCTAAATGAAAGTTTTGCTGGATAGAGCAATCTTGGTTGTAGGTCTTTGGATTTCATGACTTGGAATACCTCTTTCCAGCCCCTTCTTGCCTGTAAGGTCTCTTTTGAGAAATCCGCTGACAGTCTGATGGGAACTCCTTTGTAGGTGACTGTCCCCTTATCTCTTGCTGCTTCTAGGATTCTCTCCTTCATTTGAATCTTGGCTAATGTAATGATGATGTGCCTTGGTGTGTTCCTTCTTGGGTCCAACTTCTTTGGGACTCTCTGAGCTTCCTGGATTTCCTGGAAGTCTATTTCCTTTGCCAGATTGGGGAAATTCTCCTTTATTATTTGTTCAAATAAGTTTTCCACTGGTGGCTGTTCCTTTCCCCCTTCTGGTACCCCTATAATTCGGATGTTGGAGCGTTTAAAGATGTCCTGGAGGTTCCTAAGACTCTCCTCATTTTTTTGAATTCTGGCTTCTTGACTCTTTTCTGTTTGGACATTATTTGCTTTCTTCTCCACTCCATTGATTTGAGTCCCAGTTTCCTTTTCATCGCTATTTGTTTCCTGTGCAATTCCATTCATTTCAATTAGTTTCGCCTTCATATGTTTGTCTAATTTGTGGCTATAATCAACCAGTTGTGTGAGGATCCTGATGACCAGTGTTTTAAACTGTGCGTCTGAGAGTTTTGCTATTTCTTCATCGCTTAGATTTATAGGCTCTGGGGCTTTGAGATCTTCTTGAGCCATTTTTGGTCTGTTCGTGCTCTTTAAGTGTGAGGAGTGGAGCCTTGGACTCCCAGGTCGCTGGGTTATGACGCTGTATGTGGGGGCGGGGTCAGAGCGGGGAAATGGTGGCGCCCTCCGCTGCAGCTTGCCGTGGGGACCCGCTGGCTCCCGTCCAATCGCCCACTCCCTCGCTTGTCTATCCTCACACAAATGCGCGACCACAGTCAACCCGCAGCCCTGCTCTCTCGCTGTTTCCCCGCGGTCGCTCGCTCGGTCGCTTCCTCGGTCTCTCACTAGGTCCAACCCTGCACCTGGATTCTGCGCGCCTGAGTCCGTCTGACCGAGTTTTCCTGTGCAACCCCGCTCCTCCAGCTGCTGGTTTCGCCCCTTACCGGTCAGGCTGAAGAATTTGTTGTTATCAGACTTCCGAAAAGTTCAATTTTCTGTGTTCTGGGTGTGTTTTCTGTTGCGAATATTTAGTTGTCTCTAAACTTGGTTGTGTGAGAAGGCTCGGCGTCTCCACCTATGCCTCCATCTTGGCGGAAGTCGTCCTAGAGATTGTTGTATAACATTAAAGGAACAGGTACATGGCACGATCAGTTAAACAGAAAAAACAAATACAGAGGTAACCAGGAAAAGTACAAGAATTTCCATAGTTTCAGTTATGTTAAACAGAAGTTGTTTTGACCAGGAGAACCATTAATCAGACAATTTGGAATAGCTGTATGGACAGAGTTTGAATGTCTTATTGTTTATTAAAGGTCTTAGAATTTGACTTGGGACAAAAAGGTACGCTAGACCGAGCAGAGATTAGGAAATTCATCATAAGCCTTTGTGATGTCTAACTTAGCTATTTTTCTGTCCAAAATGTTTCTGTATGTACTATGGACTCTAACTCCTTGGTAACTGTATCTACGTGCTTAGTTTGTAGTATCTAACAAGCTTCTCCTGTTTCTTTGCCAGAAATAATATATATTCCTGTTCAAGGTAAAGGAGGGGCTGTTACTCCAACAACTTTTAGACATTCAGGGGCTATTTCATTAGAGGGAACTTTGTTCTCTGGTCAAGAAATTATTTTGTACAACTTCATTGGAATTATGCTAATCAATGAACCTGAAATGCAGGTGTCTAACAATCCTACCACCTTTTGATCACCAAAACAAACATGTAAGGAGAGATAGACAGGAAATCCATCTGCAGTTACCTCTGCCTTGCAGATGCATCTCAACCGTCCTGACCTTGTCAAGGGATGGTTGCTGGCCAGCTCCCGATGGGGGAGGGAGAAAGAAAGAGACGAAGAGAAACATCAGTGTGTGGTTGCCTCTCGTGGCCCCCACTGGAGACCTGACCTGAAGCAAAGGCTTGTACCCTGACCAGGAATTGAACTGACGACCCTTTGGTTCTCAGCCCACACTCAATTGAGCCACACCAGCCAGGGCTCACACAGCAGGTGCTTAAAAACCCATAATGTGTTTTAAGGTCCATCCACATGGCTGTGTGTGTATCTCTTCTAGGTGTTGCCTATAAACGGAATCGTGTAAGATGTGACCTTTTGGGGGTGACTTTCACTGAGCGTCGTGTGTCTGAGCTGCTCTATGTTGTCCTGAGAGTCAGCTTTCCCGCCACTCCTTTCTATGCTGAATAGCCTTCCGTTGGACCAATGTGCCACACTGTCCATGCACAGGTGGATGCTGGAATCGTTCTGAGTTGTGATAATGCCGAATAAAGCTGAGGTTCACACACTGGTCTCTTTGTGGGCACAGGTTTTATTTCTCTTGCCGAGTGACTTAGGAGTAAAATCGCTGGGTGCTGGGAGCAGAAAGGGGCAGTTTTCCAACACGGCTGCACTGTGTATACTCCCCCAGCAGCCTGAGAGTTCCAGTTGCTCCACATCTTTGTCAGCACTTGGTGTTGTCAGTCTCCATTGCAGCCCTTCTGGTGGGTACAAAGTGGTGTCTCATTGCAGTTTAATTTGCTTTTCCCTGCATCGCTGGTGGAGCAGGGCTGGGTGCTTGTCTTAACTAGCATTTCCAGCCTGTCCTGTGCCTAACTGGGCACGAGCAACCCCTACCCCCAAGCAGGGCTGCCTGTAGGAGGAGTCCTGTGGTAAGAAGCCAGTGGCGTTCACAGAAGTGGCGAGGTCTGCGGTGATGTGGACTAGACACTGGTGAGGTCTACACAGGCAGTAGCGTGAGGCTGTAGGTTTCAGATCCTGCGGTTGGGCCTGTGTAGGCTCCATGGGTTCAGAGAGTGATAGGCAGGTGCTGGATCAGTCACTGTGGGCTTCCTGGAGGAGGCAGGCCAGGAGGGGTGAGCTACTAAAGAGAAAGGGAGGAAAAGGGAAGGCACCTCTGGAGAGAGGTCTGGGGCCACGTTCACCCCAGAGCCAGGCTCAAGTCCCCACAGCTGAAGGGGTGGCCTTTCCCAGGACAGGGCAAACCTGTCGCCTCATAGCCTCTGCCTCTTCCATGATTCCAGGATCATACAGTGACAATGACAGAGTTGTGGGGAAGATGAGACGCTTGCGATGAAGGCACTGTGGGCGCTGAAGCACAGAGTGGCCCAGGGCGCCCATCGGCGGCGGCCCGAGCACCTTCCTTCCCCGTCTGAAACATGCAGGTGACTCACGTGCCTCTCAGAGGCCAGCCCCCGTCAGTTTTCCCACAGTGCTGCGCCCATCTCTGTGGTCCCTCCTGGGACTCTCACAGTCCTCGATGTGGGTCAAGGGGAAGGGAGTTCGAGGGCAGCGACACAAATGCCTCAGAATCAATGGCTGCACCGAGCAGAGCTCGGGGCTCAGGCATGCGGTGGGGAGCAGGAAAGGCCCCACACACCAGGCAGCAGCTCAGGGCTGTGGCGTCGCCGTGGGGCCTGGGGAACATCTCTGGTTTGTCCCGGACTTGGTTTCCCCAACCGGGAAGGGAGGTCTCCAATCCCCCTTCCAGGCCAGGGGCCCACACTCCGAGCAGCTGCCAGCAGCCAGGCCCCGAGCCTGACAAAGACGCATTGTTTAAACTGAGCAGCAGGCCTGCTTGCTGGGATGAGCCCCTGTCCAGGAGAAGACAGCCGTCTGAGGCCACAGCCGTCCCCAGAGCAGGAGAGCATTGGAGCCGCGCCTCTGATCGGGAAACACGCAGGTCACGGACAGCCTGGCCACGGGACAAGATGTCAGTGGGCCCCCAGCCTCGTCAGCCAGGTCAGGGTTGTATCCCAGTGTCCGTGACCGGCCCCTGTTGCAGCCCAGGGTTCCGTGGTCCCCACTGCCATCTTGCGTCCCCACGGCTCTGCTGGACGTCCGTGTTCCCTGGCGTAGAGCTCTGGAAGGGGGTGTACTGGGTCGTTTCAGGTCAATGCAATCCAGTCACTCTCCCTCGCTCGGTACCCAGTGCCCTCATCCACAGAGCTGTGCCTTCGGCCTCTCACTGGCCGGCATCACCGAGCTCTTTGCCAGAATCGCACGTGTTGTCCTCACTGGCCTAGTTTTCATTTCTTTAATGGTGGAGGCAGGCAAGCACCGGTGTGCAGGACAGCCTGCGCCGCTCCTGAGGACCAGCTTCTACTGACCACCCTCCACCACCAGGCCCACCCCGAAACAGCTCCATCCTCACCTGGAGACAAGAGCATGGGGCTGGTTCGGGTCTGCATGGCCGGGCGCTCGTTCCTGGCCCGGGGCTGCTGGCTGCTGGGACTGGGCCCCCCGGACCCCCAGCTGCTGCCTCTGCCTGGTGCTCCGGAAGAACCGGGACCAGGACAGAAGGCAGTAGAAGGAATGTTGGGGCATGGGGTGTTGCTAATTTGAGAGGCTGCGTGTCCCACCAAAGTGCCACTGTCCCTGAAACTCTCTGCCTTCATCTGTCCCTGACACAGCCAGGGCTCGCCCAGGACCGGCAGCTGTGCTGAACGGCACTTGTCCCACTGGCTAAGGAGTCTCGGCTGAGAACCGTTGAGACTGGCCAGCTTCTCAGATTGCCACCCCAAGGGCTCCGATCCTGGGGCTGTGACTGGAAGGACCTTCAGCCCTGGACCGGCAGGGCCAAGAGCAACAGCCCATGGCTGACGGGAAGCGCTTGCCTGTGTCCCTTCCCTGGTGCTGACCTTCCTGCCCCCCGGCCATGTGTCCCTCTGTTCAGGACCCCTCCCCTCTAGGGCCTGACCAGAACCATCTCCTGCCTCCCAGCACAAGGACAGGCCTGACCACTGCTCACCCCCACCTGGGCTTCCCGATAACCCAGCCCACCAGCCAAGCCTCCCCACCCAACCCAGTCTGCCTCCCTCTGGCCATCTGCCCCACACACAGGGAGTGTAGTAGACGCTCTGCCTGGTTTTAGGAATTGTGTCTCTACCCCTTGTGGCTAAGGGACCTCTGGAATGCCAGCCACAGGAGACAAAGCTTGTCTCTGGTAGCAGACGCTGCCTCAGTTCCTCTCCCTGCCCCCAGAGCTTGGTCGGAAGTCAATGACAGGTAAGACCCCTCACAGCAGGGGGGGGGCAGCTACCTAAGCCAGACTAGATCACTTGGGAGGCCTTCATGGAAGGACTCGGGGGGCTGCAACAGAGAGCAATGGACTCTCACCCCCCAGCTTTGTCAAAGCCCGAGTTCCCACGTTCTCTGGGAGAAGTGCTTCCTGGCTCTAATCCCCTTAAGCCTGAATACCTGATGGGGGGAGGTGCAGCTCCTTGCCTTGCTAGAGCGTGTCCTGGGGAAAAATCTGGCATCACAAAGACTTGCTGATAAACCTGTGAAATCTGCTCTGCTAAGAGTGCTTTCATTCATATGATAAGGACCCAAGAGGAAAGGAATATGTCTCCCAAAGTTTCTGCAACTCTCTTCCTGACAGACACTCAGACCGAAGCCCTCAGATCTCTTTGTAATGTGATCTACTGTTTGATCCTTGCCGCCCTGTATTCCTGTGTATTACAACCCAATAAAAGGCTATGGAGAAAGGCTCTCTGGCCTTTTTCTCCTCGGAGAAACTGGCCGCTGCTGGCCTTTGTCTCCCCTGAGAAACTGGCCACAGCCCACCTTCCACCCCAAACAGATCCAGCAAGTCTCGGCCGTATTTACTCACTTGCCCATGTCCATGGCACGGGGGGGGGGGGGACCTGGAGGAGAGGTTGCCCCCACAAAGGAGCTTGGACCCACCTCCACACCTTGATCCAGCTGAGTCTGCCCCACACACAGGGCCCCAGCCCCCAGGCTGCCTGCAAACCCAGGTCTCCCCACTGTCCAGTCACACTCAGAGCAGACCTGGAAGGCAGACCCCCTGCATTCCCTGGGCCAGTGGGCGTCCCCCTCCCACTCCTGAGCCCTCACACCCAGGAGGGGGACCTCTGAGCCCTTGACTCAGGTCCAGGACACCAAGGGGTGGGGAAGCCTGGGGCCCGCTACGACGGAGGGTGATGGGGAGAGCGGGTCACACCGAGGCTGGGGAGAAGTGGGGAGGAGGGCTCCTGGCGCAGGGGGGGCGCTGATTATCCTGGGGTCGGGCTTGAAGCAGCCTCGGGGCTGTCGTGGGGTCGCTGCACAGCCCATCTGCGCTCCAGCTACCAGAGAAGACGCCCATCGCCCCTTTAAGGAGGGGTCCCGCTCCTCCTCCCCAGCTGGTGCCAAGTCCTGGGAGGCTACGAGTCCGAGGCGGGTGAGAGAGACTAGGCACAGCTGTTACTCCAGGGGGCAGAGCTGGGTGGGACCCGGCCGTAGGGTGGGGCGGGGCCGGAGACAGGCCAGCGGCGGGGAGGGGCGGGTGGGAAGCGCTTAGAGTCTGAATGGGGGTCGGGGTCGTCCCAGGGTGCGGCCAAAGACTGCGGGAGGCCCGGTATAGCAGGCGGGGGTTGGGAGGGCAGAAACTTTGGGGACTCAGGCGGGGCAGGGGCAGGGCCCAGAGTGGCGGGCCGGAGGCAGGGCCGGGGACCCGCCGGCCAAGGTATTGGGCTGCCCGCGCCCTAGCTCGGAGTGTGGACGGTGGAGACTGCGCCCACGGGCCGCGCCGGCACCACGGGCTGTTGTTCTGGCCGCTGCTCGCTCATCTTCCTCTGCACTTTCCAGCTGGTGAGTGGCGACCCCTCCTCCGGCCCCACGACCCCTGCGCACTGGGGGATCTTGGCGCGGTCACCGCCCCCAGCCCCGCTGCTGCTGTGTCTGTGCCGGGCTGTAGGGCTCCAGTCTAGGGATGGCTCGGACCCGCGGGCTTCTGCGGCCGAGGTTCTCTGCTGCCAGGGGGTGGTGGGGGGCATGGGAAGCCAGCGCCCTGTGCGCTAACCCTCCGGCCCCTTCGTCCCACCCGGTGCGCCCAGCTGTGTGCGCGCGCGGGGGACGGCCACAGGATCCCAGCGCGGACAGGTGCGGGGGTGCAGAGGGAAGGGGCGGGTGCAGAACAAAAGCCTTTGGGCGGGGGGCGCCTGACTGCTCTCGCGGGAGCCCCGGGCTGGGGACTGGGGACTCAATGCGTCCGGTGCACGGTACGCTCGGGGTGGACGGCGGGAGGCAGCGCTGCGCGTGCGGTCCAAGCGTGTCCGAAGGCGTGTGTGGCTCTGAGGAGGTGCCCAGGTGAGCAAGTGTTCCCTTCCCGAAGCCAGTGCCAGGCCCCAGTGAGAGGCCGAGTTCCGTTTCCGAAGCCTGACCGCCCATCGGGTGGGGGGCGCTTGTGAGTTTGGGAGCTGGTCCCGGCCCAACCCGGGCGCCTCCGGAGGTGGAGGCACCGGCCCCGCGCTGCTCCGGGAGGGGGCGCTGGGCGGCCGCGGAGCGGACAGGGCGTTGAAGACGGTGCCTAGGGCTCCACTTGGATGTCGTTTGTGTCCTCGGTCAGCCGAGTGTCCAGTCTGCCCTTACAGATCCGGGTACCAGGTCGGGCCGCTCCCAGAGCTCGGGGTGGGGACGGATAACAGGTCAGGGCCACCTGGCTGGGGAGCAGCTGTGGGTGGGGCTCCGATCTCAGAAAGGGCATGCCGCCTCCCTGAGGCCACCTGGCGAGTGCTCTTGCTTCCAGGGACTAGAAGGTCCTGCACCCCGAGCTGTGCAGGGCTGGCGTCTGGGCCTTTGCCTGGGGCCGGGCGAGCTGGCTGAGCCCGCACGGAGCTGGGAGGCACCGCCCAGCCCGTGCGTCCTGCCTGGAGGAGGCTGCCTGCCTGCGGGGCACTCAGAGCTCTGGGACTTGGAAGGAGTGGAGTGAGGGGACCATGTGGGCCGCCCGCAGGACTGGAGCGCACGAGGCTGGGAGAGAGCCCGGCCTTGGAAAGGCTTGGAAGCCCAGGACTGCCCCGCCAGCAGCAGAGCTCGGGCCAGCCTCCGGGACGGGCATGGTGCCACTCTGTGCCTTTCGGTGGGAAGCTCCCTGGGAGGGTGGGGCAGGAACCCCTCTGGAAGGCCCAGGGGTGGGGGCAGGAAGCAGGGGTGGGCAGGAAGGATGGGGTGACGGGTGGAGGGCAGCCCAGAGTCCGGGCACTGCCCAGACAGCAGGACGCAGAGGGGCTTTGGGCAGCTGTGACTTGTTTGCTTTCTCAGGTTGAGTGTGGTGTGTGGGATGGGCTCGGGCTGAGCTGGTGGGGCTGAGCTGCTCGGGCAGGAGAAACAGAGGCCCTGAGGGGTGGGCGTGACCTCGGGCTTGGAGGGGTTGGGTCAGGCTGTGCTGCCTGTTTAACTCCCGAAGTGGGCAGTGGGCACAGGGGTGTCTCTGCAGGCCCTTGGGAATTTGGGTGACGCTCAGGAGAGGAGTACCTTGGCTTGAGGGCTCCAGGGTCTCCCTGGACTGGGGGCCCCCGGCTGACTCCTAGTCTCAGCCAGGTGGGCCCAAGGGCCAGAGCCAGGCCCCCACGAGGCCGGCCTTCGAACGCAGCATGGGGCTGTGAGGAGCCTTTTGTCCTGGGCTGGTGGAGGGGGTGGCGGAGGTGGAGCCTGAGGTCTGGTCACTGTGTGTGGGGTGGGGGTCAGTGGGGGAAGCCAGGTGGGCAGTCCTGTGGCTTTTCTTTTCTGGTTTTGACAAGCGTGAGAGTTTCCCGGTTACCCGGCTACGGGACAAAGGCCCGGAGAGTCTGCCTTCCCCGGGCCTTCTCTCTAGAGAATGGAGTGAACTCTGCTGCTCTGAGCCAGCGGAGCGGTGGGGCCATTTCCCAGGCTGTGCCCCCCCGCGGTGACGAGAGGGCAGCGAGGCCCAGCGAGGGGCCAGGACAGTGGGCGGTGCTCACCTCGTCCCCGCTCGCACTGTGGCCAAGCCTTCCTCCGGCGTCTGGGCTTAGAAACGAAAGACAAAAAAAGATGCCCCCCCCCCCACTGGCCTCTGCTGTGCTGGCCACCCTGCCAGGTTTCGGGGTCTTTTCTGGGAGAGACCCTGGGGCTGTCCCCCAGCATCGGAGAGCCATCAGCAGGGATGTGCACGACTCGGATCCAGTCCAGGCCACGAGCCCACTGTGTACTGGGCACTGGGCTCAAGGGGTGAAGGTGGAGCAGGATTCAGACAGCTGGGCGCGACCAAGGCCCATCCCCGGCCCTGGCTCTGGCCCTGGTCATCTCTGGAGACTGGGCTTCACTCGGGCCTCTCGGGAGGGGACCAGCCACTGCCTCCTGGCTGCAGTCGCCCAGACACAGGGCACTTGTCCGGAGCCCCCGTGGCAGGCCTGTGGCGGGCCAGGCTGTGACCTGAGGGAGAGGGGCTCGGGGCAGAGGGGTGTGCACGTCTGGGGCGCACGTCCCCTGGAGTTTTCTCATGCTCCACGTGCGGCCCTGCTTTGGCCCCCTGTACTCAGCTGGCTCCTAGGGCCGACCCCAGCCCCCACAAAGGACATGCTTGGAATATCCCCCTGGAAATAGCCACCACCCCTGCCTCAGGGCCGCCCGGAGGGACCAGACTGTGCCCAGGACACGCCCACAGTTGCCATTTCTGGGGCTGGTCAGGGTCCCCTGTGGGTCTAGGACACGGGCCGGAGCAGTGGGTCAGGGCTGGGATGGCGAGGGGCCAGGAGCTCTGGCCGGGTTTGGGTGTCCTTGGCCCCGTGACCCCAGGGAGATCCATGAAAGTTCGCCCTGCTGGGCTCCGTCCCCAGTCCTGGTGCCCCTTGCAGAGCCACCCCCCTTTCTCCCCCTCCCAGATCCTGGCCCACACGCCAGATGCCCTGCAGAGTCAGGACGGGCCTCTGTCACCCCCCAGGGCCAAGGGCGGCCTGGATGCGCAGGGGCAGCAGCAGAGTTCTGACATGCAGCGGCAGCCGTGCAGGGGCACCGTCCCTCCTCTGCCGCTGTCCTCCCAGGACCTGGCCGTCCCTCCAAGCCCCGCTGGATGCCAAGGACTCAGCCGCACTTCCTCCCAGTGTCTCCTCAACACCAGCGTGTGTGTCGTCCTGGCCTGTGGGCACGACGAACGAGTGAATGAACGAACGAGTGAATGAAGGAACGAGTGCTCTGTGGAGCCACCACCAAGCCCCGAGCCCGTCAGCCGCCCTGCCTGTAAAACACGTCCCCGTCAGCTGTGCCTCCCGGGCTGGTGGCTGTGGAGTTGGCGGGGCCAGAATGGCCTCCACATGGAGAAGCAGCCTTGCCCGACTCCCTGAACCCCCTGCCCCGCTCACCGTCCCCAAAGCACAAGAACCCAGGAACTGCAGTGTGGCTGTGGAGACCCCCGGCTCTCAGACTCCAGGTCCTTCCCCCCAAACCCTGTGAGTCAGAGCAGCCCTGGGTGGCGCTCCCATTCCCCAGGTGCAGAAACTAAGGATGGGGTGGGGGACCTTTCAAAAGAGAGGGATCACCCAGGGGAGCGTTTTCAAGCTGGGGGCTCATGGAGGAAGCTCCGTTGGAAGAGCCGGGCGCTTCCAGCGCAGGAGCCGGGCGATTCGGCAGGAAGGCTGGTGGGGCCACCCTGCCCCAGGTCACCACCCTGGCGCGGCAGGTGTTCGACTTCCTGGGCTACCAGTGGGCGCCCGTCCTGGCCACCTTTGTCCACATCATCATGGTCCTCCTGGGGCTCTTTGGCGCCATCCAGTACCGGCTTCGCTACCTCACAGTGGTGAGTCTGCTGTGGTCTGGTCCCCCCCACCAAGGGCCTGGCCCGATGACCCACACAGGGGCCGTCCAGTGGCCTATTGTCCTGGAAGCTACCAGAACACCTGGAAAGGCCAGGGCTTGCACCTGCTCTGTCTTCCCGGGCCTCCAGGCTCATACCTCCCCGTGGCCTGCCATTCTGACCCAGCCGCCGAGGCACAGAGCGGGGACCGCACCCGAGTGCCCCATCCCAGGCCCCTGCACCTGCCCTCCTGCCCTAAACCAGCTCCGCCCTGGTCAGCGCAGCCTTTCCAAGTGCAGGTCGAGACCACGGGGCTGCAGGCCCGAGGGTGCGGCAACCCTTTCTAGCGGAGGGCTCAGGGGCAGGGGTTCTGGGCCTCTGGGTTGATGGCGCCAGCCCGGCCTGCCCCCTGCAGGCAGCTGTCCAGAGCTGTCCTTCAGAGGGGAGGCTTGGGGGTGCTTTGCAGTTCAGGCCGCTCGTGCCCTTGGCTGTCATCAGTCCACCTTGGATGCACATGTTGGGCCAGGACACGGAGCGAGGGAGGGGCCGGCACAGCTGGCTCCTCCCAGTGGGCCCCTCCCCAGGGGAGCAGGCACCCTGTCACCACAGGAAGGCTCTGTGGCAGGGACCTGGGGGCAGAGTCCCTGGCCCCAAAGAGGCTTCAAGGGCTCTCCTCCAAGGGCAAAAGCACAGTGGGCCCCTCCCCTTGAAGGGCTAGGTTCCCCCCCCCCCCCCCTGAGTCCGAGTCCATTCATCTATCCCCTCTCCCCGTTCTCCCTAGTACGCTGCGTGGGTGGCCGTCTGGGTCACCTGGAATATTTTCATCACCTGCTTCTACCTGGAGGTGGGGGGCCTCTCCAAGGTGAGTCGTCGGAGACATGTGCAAACAGAGAGGGCACTGCGGGAGCCAGTCATCTGCCCGCCCCCACACAGAGGTGGGTGAGGGCTGCCCTGGGCTGTCCCCGGCCCCTGGTTCAGGCCTGGCCCCCAGCAGTGACTCAGGGAAGGTCTGAGGAAAGACCAATGGTCCGACGGGTGGAGGAGGGGCTGTGGGCATTGGACTGCTGGCCTCCAGCTGGGGAAAGATGCACCAGGGAAGGCTTCCTGGAGGAGGGGGCCTCAGCACCGGGAAAGCTCCTAAAAGGAGAGCCAGGGCTGGGGGTCAGGAGTGGAGAAAGTAGCCCTGGCAGAGGCGTGCAGGTCGGAGCACCACCTCAGGTGGCCTGGCCTGGGCTGGACAGAGCTCTGTCTGCCCTCCTGGGTCCTCTGGGTTGCCCTGCCCCCTCACACCCTGAGGAAGCCCATTGGTCCCTACCGTGGGGTGGGGTGGGGCCGCATTTGGGCCCCTAGGAGCACCCTTGGCGAACAGACCCTGTCTGAGCAGCTACTTTGGGCACTTGGCATGCAGCACTTGACCGCATCCTTGCAGGAAGCTCTGAGACAAGGTGTGTGAGCCAGGAGCAGGGTGGGGTTTGAGTCCAGGTGCCGGGCGGGGAGTGGCTGGGATGGTTCCGGTGCCTGTGTGTGGCCCATGGCCAGAGTCCAGGGCGGAGGCTGGTGGTGCCACTGGTGCTGACCTGGCCCCACCCCCTCGTCCCTTGGACAGTGAGCTCCTGACCTTCAACCTCTCCAGGCTTGGGGCCCCCTGGCGGCCAGGCCCTGGAGCACGGCTACATGGAGGCCCTGCATGGCGCCCAGTGGTGAGTGTGAGGTGGGGACTCGTCAGCTGGGGAACACACACAGGGGACCTCGCCCCAGGTCTCCCCTTCGGAGGGCCAAGCAGTGCTCTGCCAGGGCAGGAGGCCCTTCCTTGTCCCCACCCCTGCCTGAGAGGTTAAGGACTCACCCCGCTATCCTCACCTGTACGGCCCGAGCCATGGGACCCTCAGTGTCCTGCTCTGCAAAATGGGCTCAGGACCAGCTATGCCCCCAGGGGCAGTAAGAGGAGGGAACAAGGGGGCGGAACCTGAAGGTTCTGATGCTACTGTGGGGCTGGCACGTGGGGCCTCCTGCGGCCTGTCCCCTCCCAGCCCTGGAGGCAGTGGGGGCCGGGCGGGGACCACTTCCTGGCCCCTGGGCCCGGGGGCCTGGAGAGGGAGCTAGAGGCCCAGCTCCCCCTGCTGGCCGCCCTCCTCTCCGGTGGTGCTGCAGGTGGTGAGTGCAAATGCAGGTCACACCCTGGCCAGTGAGGCTCAGTGCGCTGGGCGTCGGTCGTCCCACAGAGCGGAAGGTCACCGGGCAGGGCACGCACAAGAGGCAACCGATGGATGTTTCTCTCTCTTTCATCCTCCCTTCCCCCCTCTCTAAAACTAAATAAATAAAACCCTTAAAAAATGCAGGCCTTTCTGTGAAATTTGAATTTCAGAGAAACAACAGGCAAGTGTGAGTGTAAGTGTGCCCCAGTCTGCGTGTGGGATATGCTCACACTGAAAACAAAAAGCAAACAAACCAGAACCACCCCCCCTGTTCAGTCTGTACCTGAAACTGAGATCTGACGGGGGGGCACTGTGCACCTTACCTGCGACCACAGCCTAGAGAAGTGACGTCCGTCCTGTAAGGGGCAGGGTTGGCAGGTGGGCCCACAGAGCTCAGGGGTGCACTGTGGCCTCACCCACACGGCCTGCCCTTGCTGTTTACTTTGGGGGGTCCAGGAGAAGCAGACCCTTGGCTGGCTCACTGCCGTCCTGCCAGGAAGGAATTCGAACCAGCCAGAGGGGCCGGAGCGCCCCCTGAAGGCTCCGGGGCTGCAAGTCCTATGGGCTGGCATCGGAACAGCTTTGGGGAGGGGCTGTGGCAGGTGCTGTGCCAGCAGGGGAAAAAGGCTTCCCTGTAGGTCACATTGAAACACACCGGGACGGGAGCCAGCCCCATGGCTTGGACCTGAGCGGAGGAAGAAGAGCAGGGAAGCGGGACGCGTTTTCAGCACCACGGCCAGCTGCCGACCCTGCTCCTTCCCCGCGGGAGGCCGCCCCCAGGCACACGCAGGCACACGCAGTGGGCTCCATCTACGCCTGCTACGTGGTCAGTGTTCTCACTGAGGAGGAAGACAGCTGTGAGTGGGTGGCTTCGGGGGAAGGAGAGGACCGCAGAGGGCTGGCGTCCTGCCTGCCTCTCTGGAGTGGGCCCCACGCCCAGTGGAGGGGGGGTCCCTGCCTGAGCAAGGAGGTGGATGATCCAGCCACCTGAGAGGAGGTGAGGGGAAGTCCCAGGCTGTGAGCGCCAGGGGTCAGCTCACCCCATCACCCCGAGACCTGCAGGTTCAGGGGCTCCTGTGCCCCACACAACCCCACCGCCGCTGCAGGTGGGGCTGAGCCCTCAGACCCAGAGGGGGACGGGCCGCTCTACCTTCTGGCAGCTGAGAACAGCATCCCACTGGCCGGGCATCTCCCAGGCCCTCAGGACTGGCCTGGACCCTTTGAGCAGCGACTCCCCTGTGCCCCCACATGATCCTCTTCCCCTTCCCTCTGATTTGCAGCATCGACACTCAGCCCCCTCACAGCCCCCAATGGTCCAGGCTCTGCCATGCTCTCATGGGACAGCCCTGCAGAGAAGGGCAAAGCCGGCGTGGGCGGTGGAGGCTGGCTACCCCAGGGGGCCCGGGCTTCTGCGGGCAGGCCCTTTCCTGGGGTCGAGGTCAGAACTCAGAGCCTCTGCCCCCAGAGTCAGATGGTCAGTCTGCCTGTCCACCCCACCAGCTCCCAGTAGCTCTCTCTCTGCGAGAGCACCCTGCTGGGCCCAGGCTGCTGCCAGCAGGGGAAAAAGGCTTCCCTGTAGGTCACATTGAAACACACTGGGACGGGAGCCAGCCCCATGGCTTGGAACTGGGCTGGTTTTGCCCAGAAAGCCCCTGCCACCCACTCGATGGCATGGTGGTGGGTCCCCCACCCCCAGGGTCCGAGGCCCTGGGGCCCCCAGACCACATTCTGGGCTGCGCAGCCCGTGCCCACGCAGATGTTTTGCCCCTGGAGTCCCGTGCTCCGCCTGCAGGCGACCCCCCAACCCCCCCCCACTGCCTCCCTGCCGTCCCTGCCGTGGCGTCCACAGCAGGGCCTGTCCTCCGTCCCACCTCTTTCCCACCGTCTGGGCTTCGCTTTATTTGGGTCTCAATTTCTTTCAGTCGATTTCATCGGTGGACTCCACCCGTGTCCTCTCCACCGTGTTGCCGAAAAGCCCTCCAGCCTCTCGTTCGAGCAAGCGCACTGGCACGTGTGAGCAGCGCAGCCTGCCCCTGCCGCGTCGGCCCTGCAGGTCAGCACAGCCAGCATCCACCTGTCCGCCCGCCCCCCACTGTTCTGAGGCCGGCTGTGTGCTTCTCCGGGCCGGGGGTGGCGGTGGGAGGATCTGGGCCTGGTCCCCCACCCCCTTGGTCCATGCCCCGCAGGGTCTGTGGGAGCTTGGGGCTCAGCTGGTTTTGTGCCCAGGGCCAGGGCACCGAGGGGCCCCTAGCCAGGTGGGCCGTGCGCACTCAGCAGGGAGTCTGGGGTGTTGGTTTTCTGCCTTTGGAGGAACAGGCTTCTTCCCTGGTGAAGGGCAGGGTTTCCAGGGTGCCCGGGCCTCCGCTGCCCCTCTCGGAAGTGGCCTTTGCCACCAGCCCTGCCCCATGAGTCATCCTGAAATCGGGGGTCAGAATTGGTGGCTGGTGGTCCCCTGCTCGGTCAAGCTGCCCTTTCTGTGCCCCACCCATTCCCTCAGAGACGAGCCTGCCCCTCAGGGCCACACCTGCGGCCACCCCTGGGAGCCCTCCTGGCAGACCCCCATACTTTCTGCCCTGTGAGGGAGGGGCGTGCCCCAGCCAGGAGCCCCCCTCCTTAGGGGTTCTCTGACCCTCCATCCTCGTCCTCACAGGCCTGCGTAAGTGACAGAGGGCCCACCCTGCTCCCGCCTCCAGCCTCTGACCCGCCGCAGATGGCAAGGGATGCCCGGCTGTGGGATACGCATGGCTCCCTGTCCCCGGGGCCCTGCCAGTGGCCCGGTCACCTGTCCCAGGCCAAGCAGCGGGACACCAGCCGGAGCAGCAAGGCTCCCCCGAGCCCCTCCGCCTCCGGGCCGAGGCCGTGTCTGGACCTGGGACAGCCCCACAGCGCCCCCAAGGCCCCACATGGCTAATAAACTGCGCTCCTGAGAGGCGGGAATTAGGTGGATGATTACACGTTCCTGCTCAGCAGTGGCCTTAGGCTGGCCGCGCAGGTTCTAGGAGCCCTTAAAACACTGAAAAGATCAGAACAGGGAATGGGGGGGTGCCAGGAAAGGGGTCCCCCACCACTGTGAGGAGGCGTCTGTGGAGAGGCCTTTGGGGAAATGGCCAGGAGCCGGCCGGAGGTGGGGGGCTGGCGGCAGGGAGCGGCCCGCGGGTTCAGGAACACAGGCCACTGAGCAGCACCAAGGAACACCTGCCGCTTTACTGTGACTCTTCAGAAGCAACCAGACTTAGGTAAAACCACACCCCCCCCCACACACACACACCAAGCCCCTTCCACCCCGGGCTGCTGGTCAGGATTCAGGCGGGCAGTGCGGGTGCCAGCTCAGGGTCCTCAGTGGGCCCACTGTGGGGTCCGCAGGACTGGCCGAGCCAGGCGAGGTGCTCACGTGGCAGCCACACTGTGCGCCTGTGGGAGAAGAGGGGTGAGTCTGCACCCCCCAGCCAGCTTGCCCCGCCCCCTGCCCTGGGCACTCCTTTCTTTCTACCCCAGAAGATTCTTGGGGAGATCTTGGGGTACACGCTGACCTTGGCGAGCCCTGTGTGGGCCAGGCTCCTGCCCTCCACTGGCCTGACAATCGAAGGTGGGCACCCCCCACCCCCACACATTCCCCGCAGCCTGGAGGGCACCAGCTGCGCAGGTGGCGGTGCCCAGGACCACAAGCTCGAGCACAGCGGAGATGTGCCCCAGCAGAGTGGCAGTGGCCCCTGCCCCAGGTGCTACCTCGGGGAGGGCTCAGAGCAAGAATCTGAGCATCTGGGGAGCTATCGGCCCCTTTGGGCACCTGCCAGGGCTGTGGCGAGGGAGGCGCCGCTGGCCCCAGTCAGGGCAGCAAGGTGTGCGGGCCAGGGCATCTGCCGTCTCCTAGGCCAGAACTCGAAACACCCACGTCAGGCCAGGCTGCAGGCCAGCCACCAGGCCAGCCACCCACCCGGCCTAGGACAGGAAGGTGCGCAGGCAGCTGTGGATGGGGGCCCTGCAGAGGGGGCAGAGCTGCAGGCCGGGCGCACACGCAGCGCAGACCAGGTGGCCGCAAGGCACGAAGACGATGCTCACGGCACGGTCCAGGCACACCTTGCAAGTCCGCTCCTCCTGCAGCCGCCGCAGCTGCTCCTCCACGTCCCGGGCTCCTGGGGGCTCCAGAGCCCACAGACTGAGTCTGTCTGGGCCTGGGCTCCACCCGGGTCCCCCAAGGGGGCTGGGCCTTTGACACCCCCCGCCCCCAACCTCCACCCTCCTTAACAGGCTGACGGGCAGGTGGGTGCGGGCCAGACCAGGAGCACCTGCCCTCCCACCCCTGGAGGCAGCAGAGCCGTCCCTGCCCCCACCTTGCCTCGTGGGTCCTGTACTCACCTGGCTCCCTGGCATCTGCCAAGCGGGTCTCTCCTTTGGGTGTGAGGTGGACAGGAGCTGAGGGCAGTTAGGGACAGACTCTCCTGAGGCCCCCAGGGGAAAGCAATGCCAGGCCCAGAGATGGGACAGGACTGGTGGCAGAACCAGCCCGGTCTCCCCGAAGCCGTTCCTCCCAGAGCAGAGTCCCCAGAGTCCACCCTCTGCAGGATGCTGCACCCATTCAGCCCTCGTGCAGGGCCGGGGGTGCCCAAGGGGCTGAGCAGGCGGGAACCAGGGGGAAGGCCAGCAGCATCCAGAGAACAGCGGTAGCTCCGACCCCCACCCCAGCCCCGCCTTCCTCCAGCAGCAGGTCGGCCAGCAGCTCTGACATGGATGTCATGGCTGGTACCGCCCGGGGGCACCTCTGCCGCACCTGCCTCCACCCGACGCCAACGCCCCCTTGGAGTTTGGCAGGCCCTACCAGGCGCCGGCTCCACCCGGAGCACGTCTGGCCGCCCCTGGCACGTGCAAGGCAGGGTGAGGGGCGCTGGATAGAGAGCAGTGGGGCTGGGGCCTTGGGTCAGAGGAGAGAGGCAGACAGCCTGCTGGGGTGGCCAGTCGCCAGGGCCACCTCCGTGCAGGGGACTCTGGGGCTCACAGCCTCCCATCAACGTCCGAGTGGCAGAGGCAAGAGTCAGGCCCCTGGACGGAGGGGCTGTGCTTCCCTGCCACTGGGGAGAGCCGGGAACCGGGCGTGGAGGGCGGAGTGCAGCGCAGCCAGCTCCTCTGCGGGCTCGGACGGCAGAGGCCAGCGGGACACAGCGCCTCCCCGCTCCACACTCCCACACCCGTCCTGGGTCTAGCCTGGCCTGGGGCCCTGGACACACAAAGGGCCAGCCCAGCCCCCTCACTCCCGGCCGGGCAGCCTTCACTCTCCCTGCTGTCTGGCATCAGGGGGCACGCAGTGACCAAGGCCGCAGGGCAGCCCACAGGTGCGCATCCTGAGGGGTGGGCGAGGGCCACGTGCTATAGCTCACCTGAGGTGGCAGGGGCTGTGTCTGCAGGTTCCTCCCACGGGTCCTGAAAGGAGCCAGCGAGCACCTGGGCCCTGAGCCCGCAGAGGAGCAAGGCGGGGGGGGGGGGCACCCCTCCCTGCCCACCCATACTGCCCAGCCTGAGGAGGAGAGGCAGGACTCACCCAGGAGCCCAGCGGGTAGCGGAGGGCCTCCTGGACACTGTGGACGAAGTCCCTTCCTTTGGTCCGGAGCAGGAATTCACACCTGGAGAAAATGAGCTCAGCAGCCCCGCAGGCAGGGGGCGGTTCTGGCTGGCAGAGAGTCCCCCTCACTGTCAGGTTCCAGCCAGAAAGTCCCTGGGGCCGGGTCCTCCCCTCTGCTCTCCCCCCACCTTCACCCCACAGCAGGGCTGAGCTGCTGTTTGGGAAGCAGCCTCTGTGGAGCATCAAGGAACAACCAGCAAAAGTGCCATCCCCAGAGGGGGGCCCCACCCCTGAGACGTGACACCCCCAGAATGTGGAGCCCTGGAGCCGCCCGCAGGGCCCTTACCTCGGGAACCACTTGGCGTGCTCAGTCCAGGGGTCATCCCCTCGCTGCCAGGTCTGCAGACCCCCAGAGCAGAAGAAGCACCTCACCTTATCCTGCCGGCCTGGGTCGGGGGGCAGAGATGCTGGCCTCCCCACATGGAGCCGTGCCCCCTGGGCTGGGCGTGTCTCCCAGGCTGGGGGCAGGGGCTTGCTCCCAGGGGCTCTTTCCTGGTGGGGCGGGGGCTCTCGGAGGTTGTGCATGAGCCTTGGGGGCTCCCACTGGCCCCTGCCCCCACACCCTTCCTGGATTTCACAGTCACCCTGGTTTGTCGAAGGTGCATAACGGCACCGGGCCCCTGCGTCGGGGAGAACACTTGGGAGAGGGATGGAGCACACTGTTCCCAGAAGGGCCGGTGGGGGGCGCAGGAGGCCAAGCCCCAGCCCCGGAGCACTTGGCCATCTTGGAGTTTCAGGGGGCAGAGGTACCCCCCAGCCACCGCCTCCTGCAGGTGGGGCAACAGGTGTGTCCCACCAGCAGGCACCTGGAGCTTCTGCCCCTGGGCTCCCAGAGGCCTCACAGGCGTCCATCTCCAGGCTTTGACTGTCCCGCCAATGGCCAACCCTGCACCCCCCTCCGCCCGACCCCCCCCCCCCGCCAGGGTCCAACGATCCTGTGTTGCTCTGGTCCCTCCCAGCTTCACTTGTCACAGTCCAAAGCCCCTGCCCTGGAGAGATTCCAGGGCTGGGGACAGGTGTGAAGGGCTGCGGGCCCCCTGTCCCCTCTTCTTCAGGCCTGGACACTCCCTGCCATGAGGCACCGGCTTCTCAGCCAAGGTGGACCCCAGGGCACGAGCGTCCCGGGACTCACCTGTGTGGAAGAAGCCGGCGGCAGCCAGCACCTCAGGTCGCACGGTGGCGGTCAGCGGCCAGCCGCAGAAGGAGGCCAGCCGCAGCTCCTCGGAGCCCATCTCGGGGAAGGCAGGCCTCGAGGACGGGGAAGCCCAGGCCCCCTCCTCCTCCTCCTCCACCAGGGCGCGCAGCTGGCCGAGGACCTGCCCATCCGGGTGGTCCCGGCCTTCCCACGGGGTGCCGCTGGGGTCCTGGCCTAGCATGTGGCCACACTGGGAGCAGGGTCCGCAGTGTCCCGCGGTGGGGCTGCCTCCAGCCGCCCAGCAGCTCTGCTCTGGGCCACAGCACCAGCAGGGGGCCCTGCCCTCGGGCCCCATGGAGTACACACCAGCCTGAGCAGAACTGCTGCGGTGACGGGGGCCCCGGACAGCCAGTCCTGGAGTGTGCCCAGCCAGCTGGCCTCTGGGCTGCTGAGCGCCTGGCCCTGCCTGGGGGCAGGGGCGGCCTTTGCCTGGAGCAGCTGGGAGGTGAGGGGGGTGGACCCTGTCCAGCCCCCAAAACGGCCCAGGTTGGGGAGGGGCCGCTGGGGCCTGCTGCCTCTGGAAGGGGCCAGCGTGGCAGCCAGCATCACGCGCTCACTGTGCAGGGGGTGTGTCACGGGGCTTGGGGCAGGGTGGTGGGGGGCCGCTGCGGGGCAGCTGGCCTCCCTCCACTCCACCGGGAAGGTGGTGTCTGCAGAACCGGGGGGGAGCACGAGCACAAGACCCCCCAAGGCGGCAGAGGGCTGGCACTGGCTCCAGCAACTCCGGTGGGTGGGGAGGGGGGAGGGTCAGCAATGAGTTCGTGAGCTTGGAATTCCGGGCCTGGCGCCAGAGGCAGCTTCTGGAGGGAGAAGGTTCCAGAAGACCTGAGCTCTGCTGCCCTGTCCTGGGGCGGCCCTGGACACAGGGGTGTCCAGGGGAGGGGAGGCCTGGAGCCATGAAGCCTGACACCTCCTGCTCTGAACCTGGGGCCGCAGGGGCACAGAGTCCTCTGAGGGCCAGAGGAGGGAGTGGTGGGAGCCCCACCCTGGGGGGGGGGTCTCAGGCTCTGGGAGGGGGTTGGGCCTGTGCTGGCGACTTCTCCCTGCACCTCCCTGGGCCTCAGGGAAGATCTTCGAGACTGGGTCCATTTCAAGGTCAGAGCCCTGGCTCCCGGCCAGGGGCGCCTGGGTGTGGGGCTGGTGCTTGCTCCAGGCGCAGGTCAGAGCTGCTGGCCACGTGGGGGGTACCCTTCCTGGGGGTGGCTTTCCTCAAACCTGGCCACAGCCACGCGGGCTCCAACCAGCCCAAGCCCAGGGACCCCAGGGACCCCAGTGTCCCGCAAGCCCAACAGGTAGGGACCATGGGACTGAACTTTGGGGCAGCCGGGGCTCCTGGGAGGGCAGAGCCGGGCAGGGCCCGAAGGTCACAAAGGCTCTGGGTGGAAGGGATGCAGGAAGCCTGGACGGTGCGGGCCCCAGAGCCGCTCCTGTGACGAACCCCCTCCCTGGGCTCACTGGCCTTTTCCTCGTTGCCCCCCTGAGCCAGCCCCTTCCTGAGCCCAGTGCCTCAGCCTTTTCCAGGCGAGTTCGTGAGGAATAAAAGAGGAACCAGGCTAAGAGGAGACAGGGCTCCCAAGGCCTGGCTGGCAGGGTGGAGCTGGAGGAGGGGTTGCTCACCCTGACTGGAGCACACCCCCCACGCCCTGCGGGCTCCACGGCCCCACCACCAAGGCTCTCACTCCCCCTCCGCCTGGGTGAGCCACCGGACCAAAGGCTGGTCCGCCCTCCTATATACCAGCCCACAGTGGCAGCCACAGCTGCGCCTCAGTCCCGCAGGGGAGGAGGTGGGGGTGGGGGACTGCCTCCTCACCCTGCTCAAGGCCCCATCGCTGTCACCCTCTCGGTTGCACCACCGCTCTGCCCTGATGTTGTCAGAGTTCCAGTGAGTCCCCAAATACTCTCCTCTCTGGGGTCCAAAGCCACCGCTTTCCTGCAGGAAGTCCTGGCAACGGGTGGGACCTCCTCCTGCAGGAGGAGGCTGTGGGCTTGGGCTTCCAGAGCAGCAAGACCAGGTGGCAGAGGCTGAAGGGCATGGGGACAGCGGGCACAGCACCTGGCCCTGCCCCCTGAGTATGCCCCGGGGCCTTCGCAGCTCCCCACCTGGCGGTTGAAGGCTTGGGGCTGAACACTCTGCTATCCTCACCTTGACCTTCTTAACACTCGTCTTCCCTCTTGTGTTTTGTATGGTGACTTCCAGTGGGACAACGAGGCATGGCTTGGGGCCCCTTTGTACGGAGGAACTATTCTCAGTGCTGCCCTCTCTCCGCCTCCTCCCCATGACTACTGCCACCCCTCACCCCAGCGGGGCCCTGGGTGTGAGCACAAAAGGGTGCCGCCAAGTCCTGGTGGTGGGCCTGGGAGTGTCCGTGAGGGTCTCTGCCTCCCTCTGAGCACAGCTGCTTGAGGGACTGTGACATTGAGTAGGAAATGGTAAATTCCAGGACAGAGCTGCAGAGATGGCAGAGGGGGAAATGAGGCCTCCGGACCTGGCTGTGGCGGCCGGCCCGCTGGACCTCCCTCCCGGCTGCCAGGTGAGGCACCTCTGCTCCCGAAGCAGCGCCAAGCGGTTTTGCAGCAGGTGCCAAGGCCCCTCTCATTGCCAAGGTTGGCACTGCCTGAACAGGGCGGGGCTGCCAAGCTACCCTATTCCGGCTGCCACGTGGGCAATGGGCAGGTATGTCCACATCCTGCTCCCACATCCCAGAGACATCTGGGCCCCAGACTGTCTTTGGTGACAATTTGTGCTAAGGCAGAAGGTGCCCTTGTCAAAGCGGAGTTAGGGCAGTGTGGGTGCAGCTGCCTGGCCGTGGACCAGCACTGGGGGCAGCGGGCCCTGGGGGAAGCCCCAAAGAAGGGGCAGAGCCCTGGGGAGCCCAGTGAGGACAAGGCTGGCCACCCAGGCACCGGGAACTGGTTGAAGTCCTCCAGCCGCCAATTAGTTTTAACTTGTGCGGGACCCCCTGTGCTATGTGCCTACATGGACTCAGCACATCCAGGAGGCCAGAGGATGAGCCGGGGTGAGGGTGGAAAGGGCAGGAGTAGGGTGTCCCAGGCAGTAGTGAGAGCCTGCTGGTTCTGGAACAAACCCGGAGCAGGGCCACCCTGCCTCAGAGGTTCCTGTGGTCTTCCAGAGCCTGCAGCCTCCACACCCTCTCCCTGTACCAGGAGCTGCTCTGCTCCCAGCCTGCAGGCCAGACCTCCTAGTCCCAGTTGGGCTGGGAGGGTGAGGATGCAGCAGCTTCTCCCACCCCTTCGCGCGACCCATGCACAGTCCCTGCACTAAGCTGCTTTGGGGTCCAAACATTCCCTCCTGGCTGGGACCCACGCCACCCTCTGCTCTGGCTGGCCTGGGGTGGCTGTCAGATCCTGCCTGCCCTTCCCTAGCCAGCAGCTTCCCCGAGCGTGCCTCAGTCCTCTCCTTTGGGGTGGGGGGCTTTCCTTCCCCATCGTGGGTGGAACCCAGCTCAGCCTCTGAATGCTCTCCAAGTTTTTCATTTGACATCCCTCAAGTGTTCATTCACCTACGAATGGGCCCACATGGGAAAATAGAATCTTTGCAGATAGAATGAAGTTATTAGAATAAGATATTACACTAGAGTAGGCCCTAAATCCAATAAAGCTAAAAGACCATGTGACAATGGAGGTAGAGTGCCAAGGAACACCACGGACGCCTGGGGCCACCGGAGCTGGAAGAGGCTGGAAGGACGCTCCCCCGGAGGGAAATCCCCAGGCAGGAACTTTACAGCAAATTGTATACAAACTGCGGAGCCTCTTGGGGACCCAAGAGAGCTGGGAAAACAGCACCCTCGGGGACACCGGAGCTCCGGGCTTTCGAGGCACAGCTGCCCCAGGAGACTGGGCCGCAAACCAACCTCAGGCAGCCCTGGACTAAGGAGCTCATACCCTCGGCGCTCCAACGAGTGATGTTGGGGCATTTGGGGCGAGCTACAGGATAGACTGGACTGCGACTTGTGTGAGTGGCGGTAAGTAGCGGGCCGTACTCGCTGGCTCCACTTCTTGACATCTCGGGAATAAGCCCAGGACTGCCGCCGGGGAGCCACCCGCGACCAGCGGTGCTCTGCCGCTGCCCACGTGACTTCCTGGGCTCGCCCCGCCCCTGCCCCCGCCCACACCGCGCGAGTCGGAGACTCAAGCGCCAGATCCGTCCCTCCGGGCTACGGCGCGCAGACGTAGTGCGTCGCGGACCGTCACAGCTCCCGGCCTGCCCCGCGCGCGCTGACGTCGCGCAAAGTCGTCTCCGTCTCCGCCGCCGCCGCTGCCGCTGACGCCGCCATTGGAGTCGGTCCTCGTCCGTGTGTGCTGTTCCTGTTCACAGCGCAGCGTCGCTACTCGCTAGCGGCCCGCGCGCCCACCAGCCGCCTCCCGGCAGGCGCCCGGGGAGGGGGCGGCGGGCCCGGGACCGCGAGAGCCCGGGTGACAGGCCCGGCCTCGCGGGAGGCCCGAGCCGGCAGGCGTCCCAGCCCTGCGCCGCGCCGGCTGTTCATGAAGCATGTCGGCTACCAGCGTGGACCCCCAGGTAGCGGGCCGGACCGGGGTCGCGGAGCTGGGGTCTGGGGTCGCGAGGTCGGGTGCTGGGGTAGTGGGATGGCAGCCTGGGGCGGAGTCGCGTGGGACCGCGGGGCCCGTTCGCCCTGGAGCGCGCCGCCGCCTGGGAGGGGTTCTGGCCAATAACTTAGCGTTTTCCCTTCCTCCGGGTGTGTCCGCTCGCTCGTTCTGGCCGGCGGCGGTGCAGAGAAGCAAAGGACAAGATAATAAAGGTAAGGGGACTCAGGCGGCCTGTACAGGCCCGGAGCCCGGGAGGGAATGGGAGGTGGCGGCGTGGGCACCCTGGCGGGGGGCAGGAGAAGAGAAGATCTGGGAAGCAGCGTGGAGAAGCGACAATTTCCTCCTCGGCTTCTGGGGAGACTAAAGGTTTGGGGAGATTTGACAGGTCAGAAGCAGGGGCTTTTCGTGGGTGGGAGAGAACCACCAGGGGGTAGTTTGGCTGTGCAGGGAAGGAAACCAAGAGGCCCAGGCGTGAGTAAGGGGCGGCGCTGGGAGGAGGACCCTGGCTCTTACAGACTGCGTCCTGGAAGCCCCACGACTTCCCGTGACATTCTGGCCTGGAGTGAACCCCCAGAACTTGCTTTGTGAGAACCTGTATGTGACCCTCTCTGTGGACTCGTGAGACTGTTTTCACACAGTGTGTGTGTGCTGGGGTGCAACCAAATATGGTTCATCGTGTTTTCAGTTGGAAAAGGCCCAGCACTGTATTTACCTTCCCTTTCCTTTCCTGGCCGAGCCTGGTAACTGTGGAAAATGCACCCACAGCCAGACCAGAACCAGCAGAGGCCTGTTGGGCTTTGGCCGTTTGCTTCCCAGCTGCACGGGTGCTGACCCACCCCTGTCCTGGCTCCACCAGCTTCTTCACAGCCTTTTCGGAGCTCCTCCTATCACGGGGACCTGGGTGCAGGCCCTGCAGTGTCAGGTCCACGCCTCTGTCTCATCCTCATCTGCCAGACACTGGCGGGATCTTTCCCAAACACCGAACCTTGTTACTGGAAGTTCTGCTTAGCGGCCGTCTGGTTAGATTCGCACACGTCGCTTCTGTACTGTTCACGTCCATTTTTAAACAAAAGCATTTTTTACTAGAAACTAGTAAAAAATGGGTATAGACTTTACTCTTAATTTGCATGCTTAGAATATGTATTAAAAATTAAATCATAATTGTACTGTGTATTCTAGTGCAAAATGGGTCTTTGCACCAGAAGGACGCAGTTCATGACAATGATTTCGAGCCCTACCTGTCTGGACAGTCAAATCAGGTGAGTGAGTTCGTGGCATTTACTGCTATCTGTGCTTTCACTGGGTTTTAAACGACATTCGCCTTTACCGCCATGGTCTGACTTTGCTGTTTTAAATGACAAAGAAGCGGACTGTGAAGTATGGGAAACGATAGGCAGGTTGCTAAGCTGACAGTGGGTGTGACCACAGCCCGGTGGGCTGGCGAGCTGTGACGCTGTGCTTCATTGTCCTTGGCATTTGTGGGGCAGCTCAGAGCCCAGCCCCTGCCTTGGATTTGACTCTCACTGACAGCCGCTTCCTCAGACAGCTGGTCTGCGGCGCCTGTCACCTCTTCCGTGAGACGGACAGTGGCAGGGGTCTCTCAGAAGTGTCAGGGAGGACGGGAGGTGCCCCAGAGAGCTCGGAGACTGTGCCCGAGGCCGGGTCCTGGGAGTCTTGGCTGCTTGGCACTCGTGGGGGTTTTTGGAAACACTTCTCATTGGCATGATGTAGGGAGTTTAGTAGGCCCTCTGGCGTTCTTCCACCAGATGCCGTGAGTGACAGCACCTCCCCCCATAGGGGGACAACCAAAAATGTGTCCTGGGGGGGTAAGTTGCCCAGGTTAAACCCAGTTGGTGTAGTTGGAGTTCAGGCTTAACATCTAGATGTTTATATTATGTACCACTTTCATTTTTTTAAGATTTAGTTTATTTCTATTGTAAAGGGGGGGAGGGAGAAAGAGAGAAATGTTGATTGGTTGTTTCTCGAACACCTCAGCTGGGGACCTGGCCTGCAATCTGGGCATGTGCCCTGACTGGGAATCGAACCGATGACGCTTAGGTTCGCAGGCTGGCGCTTAATCCACTGAGCCATGCCAGCCAGCACTATGCTGCTGTACCCCTTTTAAAACACACCGTGCTCATTGGCTTCAGAATAGAGGCTGGTTCTGCCTCTCCCCCATGGTGGGATATGGCCAGTCCGCCCTCTGCCAAGTGCCCTGGGTCTTCCCCCCACTCCCGCAGCACCTCTCGGCAGCAGGCCCTGGGAGGCCCAGGGGCTGTGCCGTGGGGCTGGCCTGGCGTCGGGCTCCACCAGAGGTGGCGCAGGAAGCGAAGGGGCTTGTGTTCTGACCAACTTGTTTTTTCTTAGATGACTCGAGTACTGCAGAAATGTGGTGTGTTAACCAAAAGGAAGGGGCCTCATTACACCCGGAGGGGGGTGTTTCTAGGCAGTGGGGCTTTGGTGGTCCTCAGGGCCTGGTTTCTAGACAGGGGGCCGCTGGGGGTTCCTTGTGAACAGCCCCTAACTCTTTCCCTTTTTACATAATTTCTTCAAGTGTTTTTTTTTTCCTTATGGTGGTTGCCTTCTTAAGTAAACACTTCTCAGCTTGGTCCAAGAATGTTCCATCCCCCTTGGGCTTCTGAAGGGCCCCCTTTCTCTCTGTGGTCCCTGCTCTTGGTCACTGGCGGCTGAGGCACTGTATTGTCTGTGAAGTTGCAGCCTCGGCTGATTGCGGAATTCCTTCCTTCTCGGAAGAGCAGATGTAGGAAGCAAAGATTTCAACTTTAAAATAAATGGTTCTGGTCGTTCAGAATGGAGAATGAGTTTTTTTGTTTTGTACTGTGGTAAGATTTTAGTAAGTATGAAAAACTTTCCATTCTGGAATAGATGTGTAGTTCTACCATGTCTGACGGTCTTTCCGAAGAAGATGGTCTGCAGTGACTGTCCCTGGTGACGTGAGATTCGTTGGGTTTGCTGTCCCCATTTGCTTACTACGTTGACCGAGTCATAGGGCGGCCTGTGGAGCCCTGCACTAGGGGCAACCTCTCCAAGTCTGGAGGCTGGCCTTGCCTCGAGTGCCGTCCCCGGGTGTGAGTTGAGTGGCCCCAGAGGTTGCAGCAGCAGTGCCTCTGGGGATAGCGCTCGAGGTGGGCACCCTCCCAGAACACAGGTGTCCTGGCACTGAGAGCAGGGTCGGGACCGGGTGTCCTCACTGCACTGTCGAACCATCTCCTGGTGAATGGACTCCACGGTCACCACCGAGGGGAGGGTGCCTGGGCTGGAGCCACCTGGCCACGTCCTGTCTGGGGAGCTGAGCTGGGGCCACTCCATGCCTGCACTTGGAGTCAGCGGGCCTCGGCTTGCCTCGAGCTGAGGTGTGGGTGGCGCGTCACGGGTTTAGTTCCCTGCGAGTTTGGGAGGCAGGGGGGAGGCTGCGAAGTATCCAGCAGCCCTCGCACACCACGTGGGGTCGCTTCTGCAGTTCCTTCCTGCTCAGAGTGGCTCGCTCCAGGGAGCGGGGCGGGTGGGGGCGGGGCAGCGGGGTCTCCCCAGGCCGAGAGCAGCCTGACACGTCCCCCCGTTCCTGCAGAGCAACAGCTACCCCTCCATGGCTGACCCCTACCTGCCCAGCTACTACCCGCCGTCCATCGGGTTTCCGTACTCCCTCAGCGAGGCGCCGTGGTCGACTGGAGGGGACCCTCCCGTCCCGTACCTCACCCCCTATGGACAGCTCAGCAATGGCGACCATCACTTCATGCACGACGCTGTGTTCGGGCAGCCCGGGGGCCTGGGCAGCAGCATCTACCCGCACCGGTTTAATTTCTTCCCCGAGAACCCCGCCTTCTCGGCCTGGGGCGCCAGTGGGTCTCAGGGGCAGCAGGCCCAAAGCCCCGCCTATGGGGGCAGCTACCCCTACCCACCGAGCTCCCTGGGCGGCACGCTGGTGGACGGGCAGGCGGGCTTCCATGGCGACACCCTCAGCAAAGCCCCCGGGATGAACAGCCTGGAGCAGGGCATGGTGGGCCTGAAGATCGGCGACGTCACCTCCTCCGCGGTCAAAACTGTGGGTTCAGTTGTCAGCAGTGTGGCGATGACCGGGGTGCTCTCTGGCAACGGTGGGACAAACGTGAACATGCCGGTTTCAAAGCCGACCTCGTGGGCTGCCATCGCCAGCAAGCCTGCAAAGCCGCAGCCAAAAATGAAAGCCAAGGGCGGGCCTGTCATCGGGGCCGTGCTGCCCCCTCCACCTATAAAGCATAATATGGACATCGGCACCTGGGACAACAAGGGGCCTGTGCCCAAGGCCCCGGCCCCCCAGCCGGCCCCGGCCCCCCAGCCTGTCCTCCCACCTCAGCCGGTCATGCAGCCTCTGCCTGCTCAGCCACCCTCTCTGGCCCAACCGCAGTACCAGGGCCCACAGCCGCCGGCCCAGACCCGCTGGGTCGCCCCGCGCAACCGGAGCGCAGCGTTCGGGCAGAGCTTGGGGACTGGGGGCGACAGTCACACCCCTGGAGGCACCCAGCCCAGCTCGGCCCCGAGCATGGAGTCCCACCCGGTCCTCGAGAAGCTGAAGGCCGCCCACAGCTACAACCCTAAGGAGTTCGACTGGAACCTGCGCGGGGGGCGTGTGTTCATCATCAAGAGCTACTCGGAGGACGATGTGCACCGCTCCATCAAGTACTCCGTCTGGTGTAGTACCGAGCACGGCAACAAGCGGCTGGATGGTGCCTTCCGCTCCGTGGGCAGCAAGGGGCCCGTCTACCTGCTCTTCAGCGTCAATGGCAGCGGCCACTTCTGCGGGGTGGCCGAGATGAAGTCGCCCGTGGACTATGGCACCAGTGCCGGGGTCTGGTCTCAGGACAAGTGGAAGGGCAAGTTCGACGTGAAGTGGATTTTTGTCAAGGACGTGCCCAACAACCAGCTCAGGCACATCCGGCTGGAGAACAACGACAACAAGCCGGTGACAAACTCGCGTGACACCCAGGAGGTGCCCTTGGAGAAGGCGAAGCAAGTGCTGAAGATCATTGCCTCCTACAAACACACCACCTCCATCTTCGACGACTTCTCTCACTACGAGAAGCGCCAGGAGGAGGAGGAGGTGGTGCGCAAGGTGAGTCGGGCGTCGGGCTGGAGATGCGGGAGGGGGCGGCAGGACGCGACTCTGATCCCCTCTCCATTCCTGAGAGGCAGCGGTGGGCACCGCAGTGCACAGCCTGCTGCGAGGGGCTCGGGGCGACTCGCCGCTCCACCCTGCGCTGCGGGCTGTCGAGAGCGCATGTCCTGCTCTCTGTCCAGTGTGGGGAACGCTGGCCTGGTTCCCTGTGGGTGGCGGGGAAGGCGGTGCAGCCACATCGGAGCAGCCCGGCCTGCAGTCAGGTCTCTGGGAGTCCAGCTCCCCGGGTGCAGAGACACCTAGAGCCCAGCGTGGCTGCAGAGAGCGGACGCAGGGGGCGGGGGAGGGCTCCGAGTGCTGCCTTGTGCCAAACTCATCCTGAGGTTTTCACCTGTGTCTGTGTTTTGTTTTGTTTTAATGTATTTTATTGATTATGCCATTACAGTTGTCCCATTCCCCCACTTCATTCCCCTCCCACCCACATTCCCCCCCTTTAGTTCATGTCCATGTGTCACAAGTTTTTTAGATTCTACATTTCCCACACTACTCCTGCCCCCCCCCGTCTATTTTCTCCCCACCGCCTGTGCTGCTTATTCTCTGTACCTTCTACCCTCCTCTCCTCCTCCCACTCCCCTGTTGCTAACCCTCCATGTGATCTCCATTTCTATGGTTCTGCTCCTGATCTAGCCGTCCTCTTAGTTTGCTTTTGTTTTAGGTGTGGTACTTAACTGTGATTTGCTGTCCTTTCACTGTTCGTATTTTTTATCTTCTTTTTCTTAGATGAGTCCCTTTAACATTTCATAAAATAAGGGCTTGGTGATGATCAACTCCTTGTCTGAGAAGCACTTTATCTGCCCTTCCATTCTAAATGAAAGCTTTGCTGGATAGAGCAATCTTGGATGTAAGTCCTTGCCTTTCATGACTTGGAATACTTCTTTCCAGCCCCTTCTTGCCTGTAAGGTCTCTTTTTGAGAAATCAGGTGATGGGAATTCCTTTGGAGGTGACTGTCCGCTTATCTCTTGCTGCTTCTAGAATTCTCTTCATTTTAATCTTGGCTGGTGTACTGATGATGTGCCTTGGTGTGTTCCTTCTTGGGTCCACCTTCTTTGGGACTCTGAGCTTCCTGGACTTCCTGGAAGTCTATTTTCTTTGCCAGATTGGGGTCCTTCTCCTTTATTACTTATTGAAATAAGTTTTTCACTTGTTTCTCTTCCTCTTTCCCTTCTGGTTCCCCTGTAATTCGGATGTTGGAACGTTTACAGATGTCCTGGAGGTTCCTGAGCCTCTCCTCTATTTGGTTTTTTCTTTTCTGTTTGGTTGTTTCTTTCTTCCTTCTGGTCCACTCCATTGATTTGAGCCCCAGTTTCCTTTCCATCACTGTTGGTTCCCCGTGCATTTTGCTCACATTTCACTTAGTGTAGCCTTCATTTTTCCATCTAATTTGTAGCCAAAATCAACCAGTTCTGTGAGCATCCTGATCACCAGTGTTTTGAACTGTGCATCTGATAGGTTGGCTATCTCTTGGTCACTTAGAACTATGGGCTCTGGGGCTTTGATTTGTTCTTTTGTTTGAGCCATAATTTTTTGGTCAGGTTGTGCCTGTTACGTATGAGGGGGCGGAGCCTTAGGTGTTCACTGGGGCAGGTCAACCCAGTCTCTGGGTTTTGACTGGGGGCAGAGTGAGAGAGGGTGAAATGGCATTTGTTTTGCTCTCTCTTGGATTTTGGGCCCTTCTGGTGCTGGTTCCCGGGTGGGTGGGCTTGTGTGCATTCTGGGACCCTGTGGGTCTGTCCAGTGGACTCTCCCGTGAGGCCGGGAGCCTCTCCCATCACCTTTTCAATCGGTGCTTTTAGGCTTTCTTTCCGTGGCTGGGGCCCTGGGTTGCCTGGTCTGTCTTGCTGCCCATTGTTGCCTGGTTTATCTGTGCACGAATGTGTGACCGAGTTCAGCCCCAGGCTGCCTGCTCTCGGGGGTCTGGCTGCCACCCCCTTTCCTGCCTTGATCCCGCTCCGCCGACTCCGCCTCTCTTTCTGGTCTGGTTGAATGATTGTCAGACTTCCATACAGTTCAGTTTTCTGTCTGTTCTGGCTGTGTTTTGTTTCTAAATCTTTGTTGTCTTTAATTTTGGTTGTGCAAGGAGGCACAGTGTTTCCACCTATGCCTCCATCTTGGCCGGACAGTGTGTCTGTGTTTTTTCTTAGTTTTTCCTGCACTGGTTCAGGGCGGGGGAGGCAGAGACACAGCTGTTTCAGAGGCGCTGATGGGCTGCCTCTTCCACACACCCTCACCAGTGATGGGGCCCACGTCCCAGGCCTCTGACCTGCCCGGCAGTTGAACTGGTGACCTTTTGGCGTGCTGGATGACGTCCAGCCCACTGAGCCACACCAGCCAGGGTTTGCCTGTTTGCTTTTATTTTGTATTTTTTTAAATTATTGGAGGGTTTTTTTGAGGTTTTTATTTGATTTTGTTACAAATTTTTTTTTAATTCATTTTTAGGAAGGGGGGATGGGAAGGAGAAAGAGGGAAACATCAGTGTGTGGTCGCCTCTCATGCGCCCCCTACTGGGGACCTGGCCTGCAACCCAGGCCTGTGCCCTGACTGGGAATCAAACTGGCAACCCTTTGGTTCACTGCCTGCACTCAAGCCACTGGGCCACACCAGCCAGGGCTGTGTCTTTGTTTTTAAAATGTCCTTCCTTTCATGAAATGTGAGTTGATGGTAGGTGGATTTTCTGTGTTTTTTCAGTGTTCTGTGTTTGATTAAAAAAAACCCAGCCCTGGCTGGTGTAGCTCAGTGGATTGAGCGCGGGCCTGCGAACCACACGATTGCGGTTTGATTCCCAGTCAGGGCACATGCCTGGGTTGCAGGCCGGTTCCCTGCAGGCCAGTTCCCAGCAGGGGACGCACAAAAGGCAACCATACATTGATGTTTCTCTCCCTCTCTCCTTCCCCCCCTTCCCCTCTAAAGATAAATAAATAATAAAATATTTTTAAAAAATTTTAAAAAAACCACCCACATGTCTGTGAGCGCCCTGAGTGTTTCAGCTTCAGGAGGGGCCTGTGGTGGTGACTCAAAGCCTGGAGAGAAAGGTGATCTTGCTCCCTCTGCTGGGAAAGGGGAGGGGCCTGTTTGCCCATCTCCGCTTACTGAGGTTCTGTGGCGCCCCCTTCTGGGTGTGGCATGAAGTGCCTCAAATAAACAGAGCAGCCGGGTGTGCAGGTCCAGGCAGTGCTGGGGCTTTGCAGTGCCCGCCCCCACCCCCCCGTGCCCCCGGGGCGATCTGTGTGAGCTCGTCTTGCACACGTGCTGTCCCTGCAGCCGGTGCCCCCTGCTTCCTTCTGCCCCCCCACTGGCTCGGCTCCATGCTTGGAAGGTTCTCAAGTAGCAGCGAGACCCCTGGGCATGGATGGGGTAGGTGTGGGGAAGTGAAAGGCTGCAGTTGGCCCTGGGCGTGGGGCTGTGAGCCTCCCCGCCAGCCCAGCGGGCCTTTGAGATTCCTCTGGACGCAAACTGCGCCCTGCACGGCTTCCTTGTGCGCCCAAGGGTGCCCAGGAGAGGGGCCGGCCTGGTGGTTGCCAGGCTCCTGCGAGTCACCTTCCCTCACATGACTGGAGAGCACACGGGTCAGACCTGGGCTCAAGGAGCTGTGGACGGGTGGCTCCTGGGCTCCCTGGTCCCCAGAGTCTGGTGGTGGGCAGACAGAGAGCAGGCGGCTCTTCCTACTCGGGCTTGTGCTGTGGCCTCCTGGCTCTCAGGACACCTTGGAGCAGAGCTGCCCTCTGTCAGTGAGACGCAGGTGGCCTGTGGTGGGACTGCTGTGCCCTGTGGACTGGGATGCATGTCGATCCCCAGGGGGCACGTGCTCTTAGGAGCTGGTGGAGGCCTGTCCAATGGGCGGGGCCTGCATCTGCACAGAATCCTGCCCGTGGGTCCTTGGCATGACGCAGGCTGGGCTTGTTGGTTGACAGGGCTCTTTTTACAGGCGCAGGGCCCACGGCTCGGTCGGGAGGTGATGCCAGTGGGCAGGGTGGTGGTGCCCTGCGTGACAAGGCAGGCATGGGCAGGGAGAAGGGCACGGTGCTGCCCTGGGGACACGGTGCGTCCTTTTAGCAGAAGAGGGCTGTGCTGGCTGCTTCCAGTGTCCAATAGCCCCGTCTGTGGGGGATGCTGCCCTAGACCATCCCGGTGACCAGACACGGCGCACCCAGTGCAGGGGCACATGCTCCTTCTTGGGCACTGAGTTTAGTCTCAGCATTGTGAGAGATGCTGCTGAGGGGTGGCCTTGTCACCTGCCCCACAGGAGCCCTGCGTGGAACAGGGTGCCTGTGCGGAGGTCAGCAGGCCCAGAGCCGCTGGTGTGGCCGGTCCCAGTGGAGCTCGGGCCCCCGTCTGCAGCTGCAGCCCCCTGTGCAGCCCAGGACCGGGTTTTCGGGGTCAGCATGCACGTCCACCACCCCCCCGCCTTAAACTGGTTTCTCTCTTCTCCCACAGGAGCGGCAGAGCCGGAGCAAACAGTAAAGGCCGCAGGCCAGCCTCTGGTGCGATCTGACGTTCGCCTGAACAAGTGCTTGGTGCTGCGTCCTGGCGGCACCCTGCGCCTTCCTGCGCAGGCCCAGTTGCCGCTGCGTCCCGCCGGAAGCCCTGTGCAGATGGCGCCGCGCCCTGTGTGTTTGCCGAGTCCGATAGCATTGTAGACTGCACTAATAAAGAGCGTGCTCCTGGCCCGCCAGTCCGACCCACCTAACGTGAACCACAGGTCTGCCCCGCAGCAGACCTGGTGCATCCAAAGAGTCGTGCTGGCAGACACCGCGCTCACCCCTGTCCTGTTCACGGTCTCCCCCTGCTTCTGTCTTTGGGACGTTTCTCACCCGGTTGCTTCCTGGTGGACGTGGCAGGTCATGGGTGGTTCTGCCACACACGCGTGTTTCGACCACTTCCCTCCCGGGCGCTGAGACCCGCAGGCGGCAGCCTGGGGCTGGCTGGTTTACCACATCTCGCTGGTCACCTGCCCAGGGCCACACTTCCCACACCACGAGGCTGTGTCCCAGACAGCAGATGCGTTATGCGCCCACACGGCACCATCTCCTCGGGGTGGTGGGTCTCGTGTCCCCGGTGCCCCTGGCTGTGCACCTCGTTTTAACCCCTTCCCTCGCGCACCCTCACGCTGTTTAAGTTTCATGCCCGTGACACTGAGCTTCCATGTCGTCTCTGATGCGACATTGTCTGCCCATCGTGATCCGCACTGTGTGTCTCCACCCCTTCCTGTCAGTGGTGAAAAGGACAAGGGCACAGACCCCCTGGGGACTGACCGCGCTGCCACGTCCTGTGGACCGAGGGCCGCTGACCTTGCCACCCTCTCCGGGCTGGGCACAGCACGGACGTGGTGCTGCCCCCACCTCGCCAGCACACCTGTCTGCCCCACGTGGCCCTGGGGTGGGGGAGAGCAGGCCCCTTCCAAACACACGTCACTGCAGAAGCCCCTCCAAGTTGAAGCTGGAGCTGTGCTATTAGACTTGTATTCAGAACTCGTCCCGCTGTGCGCTGCCGCCGCCGCCTGGACAGAGTTGGGGACAACCCGAGGGGACGACCTGGGGTGGGCGGCTCCAGGGCAGCACAAGCCTTAATAAACAACCCTGTCTGGCAGTCCTCTGTCCTAGCCTTCTTCCCCGCCGTTGGGTTCTGTCGAGAAGCCAGGCCAGGGGGCACCACCCTGAAGCCCGCGTGTCCCTGCTGGGGACCCGACGACCCCAGAGACTGAGCCGTCCTCTCACCCACCCTTGGGATTCTGCTGAAGGCCGGGAGGGGGACTGGAAAGACCCAGGTGTGACACTCGAGGCTGACAGGCTCCCACATCCTGTAAGCCGCACAGGTGGCAGTGCTGTGCCGTGAGCGGCCTGTGCCCACTGCCCAGCTGCTGGCCTCAGGCTCCCAGGCCCCACCCGTCCCTCCTGTCCCACCTCAGCCAGCCTGCCCCTCCAGAGGAGCTCACCAGGCCCCCCTGGGGGTAAAACTCGGAGATGTCAGCATCACCCTGGCCCTCACGTGGGGCACTTGGTGGGCAGGGCTGTCGTGCCTGTTGACTGGTCTGCCAGGAGACCACAGCTTCGTCTTGGCTCCAGACCCCATCTGCCGCTCTGCTTTGGGAGGCATGTTAGGCCTGGAGGGTCAGCCTGCCTTTTGGTTTGTTACGTGTTCAGTCACTGGGCACCCCTGCACATGAAGTGGCCCCGGCTTGCAAAACGAGGGGTGTGCGTGATGCGCTGGGGCCTCAGAGTGTCGGGGGCTTCTGCAGGTGGGTGAGTGGGGGCTGTGGCTGGTTAACAGGGAGCTCGGGCCCTGGGTTGGCGTCAGGTCCTTAAGTGTCACCTGCTCTGAAGGCTCCCTGCACCGCGGTTGTCTGCCTTGCCACAGCTACCGGTGCTTCAGAGCACCTGGTTGCAGGGACTCAGTGCCCCCAGGAGGGAAGACAAGAGTGGGCTGTGGTGAGGGTGGGTTGGAGATGTCGGGGGACGTTAATGTGAGCAAGTTGCAGCCAGCCCAGCCTCCTGTGGCCCACACACAGCCTGCCACGTTAGGGTTCCCAGCTTCCACGGTGGGTGCCGTCACCCGCTGTCCTCTCGGAGGTCCCTCTGGCTCTAGGAGTGTCCTCGCAGGCTCTGGCAGTGGGTAGACGGCAGGCAGCTCCCTCCTGGTGGGCTGTCTGCTGCTGCCCCTGTGGTATCCCCTGACCCCAACGGGATTGAGGCAGCCTCGGGCCAAGGCCCCCAGCCGGACGACTGCCTGTCTGCGTCCTGGCTCTGGGCCTCCCTGTGCCTGCGTTGGAGCGGCAGCCGGTGCAGGGACGTGCCCTTGCGGGCCCCCAGCTCGCCCCTGGGCGCCCCCTGCGTCAGCCCTGCAGCCTCTGGTGCAGCCTGTAGCTGCTTTTGACGGTGGTGGTGAATTATTTTTTGAAACCAACTGGTTAGAAAAACATTTGGTCCCAGCTGGTGTGGCTCAGTGGACTGAGCGCCAGCCTGCAAACCAAAGGGTCACCGGTTCAGTACCCAGTCAGGGCACAGCCTGGGTTGCAGGCCCGGCCCCCAGTGGGGGTCACATGAGGCAGCCACACATTGGTGTTTCTCTTGGTCTCTTCCCCTTCTCTAAAAACAAGTGAAATCTTTTTAAAAATTTTTTTAAAGAAGAGGCATTCTAACAGCTGTCCCGCACCACGGTTCTCCTGTAATTATTCTTTCTGTGGAGGAGTCGCACGGTGACTTTTTGGGGCTGAAAGAATACACTGCAGACTGTTTCCTGTCCGGGTTCATCTTTATTTCCTGGAAAGGGCCCAGAGACGAAGGCCCAGGTGAAGGGGAGACTGCCTTCCGAGCAGGAAGCCGGACGGCCTGCCCCGTGGGTTCTGCCCGGCTCTGCTGGGAGGGGGCTGGGGCGGGTGGTTCCTGTGTCCAGACAGGTCTTCCTGGCTCCGGGAGGGCTGTCCCCACAGGGGACATGGTTGGATATTGCCCAAGGGTCAGCTGGGGCTGGGGACTGGACTGATGTCACACAGCCCGCTGACTCGGCCTCCCACAGTCCACTCAGCTCTTAGCCCTGTCTCTCCGGTCTCCTCAGCATGTGGTCACCCCCCTGGGGGCACGTGTATCTCTGAATGACCACTGCGTGGCCACCGTCCCAGGGGGTCTGCTTCCTCTTCATTCTGCTCACCCACCCCTGCTGTGGTACCCACCTGAAAATAGGACCTCCGTCCTGTGAGAGTGGGGGTGATGGTGATGGTGATGGTGGTGGTGGTGTTGATGGTGAAGGTGGTTATGATGGTGATGAAGGTGACGATGGTGAAGGTGGTGCTGGTAACAGTGGTGGTGATGATGGTGAGAACTGCTCGCCTTTACTGAGCAGACGTGTCTTAGCTCACTCTCCAGCACAGATGAAGAAGTGAAGACCCAGAGATGCAAAGCCTGCGGCCGCCGGTGCCCAACAGCTGAGGGCCGCCCCTCCTGCCCTATGTCATCAAGAGGCACGAGCTCTGCCCCAGGCTTGGCTCCCACCAGGTTCCTGGGCAGAGAATGAAGAGCCCTCAGCAGCTCCAGGCCCCTGGGAGCCAAGTCGGTGGTGGCGGGGGCCGCCACCGCCACAAAGATGGCCTCCGGGCCCCCCGCTCTCCAGCTGGCGCTCGAGTGCCCTGGCCGTGGGCCTTCCGTTCCTGCAGACTCCACTCACACGGGGCCGGCTTCCGGGCTCGTCCCAGACCTCGGTCCCAGCCTGGGGCTCTCGGGAGGATCCAAGTGGTCCCACAGCAGGACAGCCCCGGCGCCATCCCCATGTGTCTGGAGCCCTGGGCACAAACCTGTGGGAGGTGCAGCTCTGGTGCCAGGCAGGAACGTCAGGTGGCTGGACTTGGGGTCCAGAGTGGTGTCCCCTCCAGGTGGTGATCCTGGGGTCAGCCGTGCCAGGAGGCCATGTGGTCCCTGGAGAAGGGGGCACGGCAGGGGGCCCACAGGCATCTTAGGGCAGTTTGGCTGACTGCTGACTTGGCTGCAGACCTGGCTCCTTTGAGCAGACAGGGCCTTGCTACCTGTTACAGGGGCTGGGCCCTGGGGAGGGGCTCAGCTGCCTTGGCTGCTACAGGGCCTCTTCCCCATCATTTCTGGCACCCGGTCCCCAGCACAGGCCTGATGCCCGCCCTGCCCCCCTGCTGTGAGCTCCCTGGGGCTGGGGGCTTGGGGCTGAGCTGGGCCTGCTTGGGTGGGTGTCGGCCTGGGATGCACAGGTGAGTGCCCATTGCTGTGGCCATTCTTTCCTTGGCTACCGCTGCCAAGTGCAGGGACATGGAGTGCTGTAGGACATCGTGGGGGGTAGGTTTCTGGCCATGCAAACGCATTCTTCCCAGGCCCCTCCTCAAACACGCCCCAGCTCTTGGCTGGTGGCTACCTGGGCAGCCTCTCTCCTGGGCCCCTGGGAGCTACACAGACCTTTCTCCTTTGTGCAGAGAGAACAAACAGGGTGCTGAGAGGGGAGGTGGGCCAACGTGCAGGGGCGGGGGTGCAGACGTGCAGTGCTTTGGTCCGAGCGGGGCGGCTCCTGCTTCCTCACAAGGGGTGAGGGCCTGGGGTGGGGGAGCATGCACACGCGTGCGTGTGAGAAGACCGCACCCCTTTGGAATAGGGGCCCTAGACTGAGGCAGACCCTCCCCTCTCCCATCACCTCCAGGGGCAACCCCCCACCATCTCTTACCATTCTCACAGTTCCCCCATCAGCTGCTGGGAGTCCAGGGGTGAGGTCTGGGCTGATGCCCTCGGGGTCCCAGTCCCCCACCTCCACACACACTCCCGCCCCGTGTCCAGGCTCAAGCCTGGGCCAGGGGTAGCCGGGCAGACAGCCTGAGAGCCTGGCTCCCAGCCTGGGGCTGTACTTGAGGGGCCCTGCCTGGGAGGTTGGGGGCAGTGGCCACCCCAACGAGGGCTGACCCCTGCCTGGCCCTCCTGCTGCTGGTGCAGCAGGCCCCCCCGAAGCAGGTCCCCCAGGGGGCATCTGGAGGAGCTTGGGAGGGGGCCATGGGCCGTGGGCACCAGCCTCAGCTGTTTGTGGGGTTTTATTCAGAGCAGCAAGGTGCTCTCTGCAGCGCTCGGCCCTTGGGTCGGCCAGGTTGGGAGTGCCTGGCTGTCTGCTTGTGTCCCTCTCTGGCCCCACACTGGGTGGTGACCCCTGCTGGATAGCCCTGGGCTGGACCCCAGGCTAGTGCCCAACTGGGCCTTGGGGTGTTCAGCACCCACCCAAGCTCGCTGCCCCTCAGTGGGACTCCCCAGCACCTCGGCAGAACGCGTCCAATGGGCCAGGAGCTCAAGGGCAGTGAGCATGGGTGGGGGCCCAGCGACCCCTCTGCAGTGGGCACAGGTGAGTGCGTGTGCGTGGAGTGAGTGGCCGTGGGAGGGAGGGAGGCTGAGTGTGGACATGCAGGGCCGTGCTGGGCACAGAGTGCAGGTTCTGGGCATGTGAACCAGCCCGCACTGCGGCAGCTGCCGGGTGAGGTCTGCTCAGGGGAGGCCCAGGAACTCAGCAGAACCTCGGACCTGCCCAGGGGCCTGGGGTGCAGCGCGGTGCCTTCAGGCTGTCTTTGGGGGAGGGATTAGGGGAGGAAGCTGCCCAGTTTGTTCTGGGGGGCCCTCCCCAGAGACCGACCAGCCCAGGACAGTGCCAAGGGCCGGCCCTCCTCCCTGCCTGGCTGCCTGCTCAGAAGACCACTCTGGTCAAGAGCCCTGTTCCCAGGAAGGGAGGTGGATGGGCGAGGAGGGCAGAGCCGGGGGACGGGGGCCCCTTTCCCTCAGAGGGGCCTTCTGAGCAGCCCTGGGAGACGCCTCAGACTGGACAAGGGCCACGCTCCTTCCACACCCAGCAGGGACACCAAACCCTGCTGCCCCAGCCCCCTCCACACACCCAGACCAGAGGAGCCTCTGGGGTGCTGTCCACACCCCTCGCAGGGGAGAGGCAAGGAAGGGCCGCCATGCCCGAGGCGCAGCATGCCACGGACATTCGGCTGGAGAGGGGCAGGAGACAGAGGGACCCTGGCTGTGGGCTCCTGGCGGCGCTGCCCATGGAGGCCCCTGGCTTCTTCTGGGGCCCAAAGCGTGTCCCGGGAGGGGTGCAGGTCT